GGGCATTGGCTGTCAATGACCTCTCGTGGGATATTATTGCCCACAGCGTGCAGAATTTGCTCATCATTGTTACTGTTATTGTGCTGCGGTAATCCATGGCGCTTTGTCAAACCACGGCGGGATGAAGGGTTTGTTTGACCTGTACGTCACCACGGTGGTCGGTGTGCGGATTGAATGTGGGGTGAGGCCGTGGACCGGTTCAGTTATCGCTCGCCACTGATGTTAGCCGTGGCCAGGAAAAACACATCCAGCTGGCTGGGTTCAAAGTGCAGTGGCCTAATCACTGTACCGCCGTTTTATAATGATACAACGTTCCACTAATCACGAATATTGATTTACGTTTGCACGTGTAACAGCCTGCGTACTAGAAATGGGGGCCATCATTATGAAGGAAAGGATCCGTGTCTCGCCACCACAAAGTGGTGTTGGTGGCACCGAGCCAGGGCTGGAAATTCCACGTTCGTGCGGTGAGAGCCATTCTCTCTCGAGGGAACAACGCAGGCGCGGAGCGCGCTAACCACTGCGCCACCCCCGCTGCACGGCGGTGCAGCAGCGCGCAGTGCCGGGTCGCGTCTAGTGAAGGATTGTGGGAGCTGCGCAGCAGGAACCCCCCTCCTGGCTCATCGTCTCCTTCTTCCCTGGCGTGGAGCGCTCCGTGCTGCCTCGCTGTCCCCACAGCCGCAGGGCTCACGGGGACGCTGGGGGCCCTGGGCGGGGGGGAGAGGGGGGGTACGAGTTGCCACCGTGGGTGCGAATTGCGATTCGCGGCGTTTTTCTGAACACAAACCGCGGGCGTCGACAATCGCGGATAAATCACCGCGCCGAGAGCCGTGGTGACGTCCCGCGGCGAGGAACCCCGCGAGTACCCGCACATTAGCAGCTCTGATGCGCTGCGTGGTGTAAAATCACCACCCCATTAGTCATCTTCCTTCGTGGCTTATCGACTTCTCGTTAATGGAGAAAAAAAAGGCGAAATGAACATTTTGGCCGTCGGCGATGATTAGAATTCATGAACTGTTAAAAAAAATAAACGTTCAATGACCAAAGCATTCCGAATGCTTCCGATCTTGGCAGATCTCGCAGGCTGAGCTAGGGGTTGAGTCCGCATAGTGCTTGGATCGCTGACCACCGTATGCATAAAACAGGTGTTATAGGCTGTGGTGTGGCTGCGTTGTGTATTGTATTGTACTGTGCCCACCTTTCACTGATGCCCACTGACCAGCGTGGTGAAGTACGGTCAAATAGAACCACCATGACTGGCATGGCACGGAGAGGCCTTCATCCAGCAGTGGATCGACAGAATTGCTGTACGTGTGCATGCCCCCATGCCGTGAGTGGAAACCCGAGCGGGGAAGCAATACAATCCATCCATCATCCATCCCTGCGGGGTCAATAATAACGGTAGACAGGCAACACACTGGCGGTGTCATTGGTCGACCCATTCCGTCCTGGGAATGTGGAATGTTCTCCGCCGCCTCAGGGCCCCATCGTAGTCGGAGCGGAGAGACTGCGCCGGTGCCTCGAGACTTCTTCTCGGGGTTCCTCTCTGGCGGGCGGCATGGCTCCTTTGTGATTCCCGTCGCTGCAATCGACTCGCGACACTCGAGAGCCCGCAGACAACACCGAGTGTCCAGCTGTTCAGGCTCGGTGCCCAGACCCCCTCCCTGCGAGTCTTTCACTTGGGGTACAATAATTACACAATCCCTCGACGAATACTGTTGGGGGGGCAAGGGCTGTTCGCAAGTAGCACCTACGAAGGCCGTAACGGTGGGTGGCCTGCACCACTCCCGGCCACCATTGTCTCCACGGTTGGAGACGTTTCCACGCCGCCGCACCAGTTACTTATTTGAGGCCGAACTTCGGGGAGGCCCAGCACTGGTTTAGATGATCGTCTCACCGCTGTTGGCCAGGATCGAACTCGGGAAAGCCGAGTTCGTAGCGGAGTGCACGGACTGCTGCGCTACCGTTCCCGACTGCTCGAGGCCGTGTGAGGACACGACAAAGCACCAGGGAGCTCTGGAACGTAGAGTACAGTGAATCATTGATTGAGACAAATCCTCTTTTCGTCTGCGAATTAGAGTGTAACAGACTGTCAGAGTACCATTTCAGCGCATCACCCTGTGGGCGTTATTCTGTTTTTCACTTGCAATTGTTGAATCTCGTAATCGTATCAGTAGTGAACTTTATGTAGGAGAAGAGTCTCACCTTGTATGAAGACTCAGGAGGGCCCAATTCCATGAAGGAGTGCCAGACACGTGAGGCAGTGGAGTGCGCAGAGAAAACACAAACACAAGACCAGATCACTCGCCTTGTGTAGTTATCCATCGCTGAATGGCCTTCTTTTGGCCACCTTGCATGCAAACTCGGATTTAAGCAGGACAACTCTTTCCTGGCTTTGACATGTTGAGTATCATCAGCAGTGGTGCCTATGAAACAATCTCTGCCCTGTCCCCAGGTGTTCGGTGTTCGTGGCAAGAATCCTCAACACCTTAGCACCCGATGCAAATATTTGCCAAGCGATCTACTGTACCAGAAGAGGGTGGTGGGCAGTGGCGACGCTGTGGTTAGCGCACTACGCAACGAACCCAGCCCCGGTTAAGTGGCGAGCAACATCTGAACTGGTCCTGGGGTCACGCTTCAACGTGCGCTGACCAGCCTGGTGAAGTATGGTCAAGCAACCCCCAAGACAGACATGGTGTGGGCAGGCCTTCATCCAGCAGTGGATCGATGAAGGGCTGTTAAAATATCTTTATGCTCGAAGAGGTGTTCACAACGGTGCAGTGGTTGACAAGAAGTTGATGGCCTCAAGTGCAATGTTACGATTTGTATTGCCCTCAATCAGCTGTGGTAGCAGACGCTGTAATAGTTAATAGGTTTTGTTATCGCAGCACGTGGTTGTTCTCTTGAGTAATGGAACGCGGCTTTAGCCAAAGAGGGCTTTGAGGCAGCTCCTGTCGAGGGTCCGGGGTGACAACAGGAGTGCCACTTTGTGTGGATGTATATCGTCCTTGGCCTCTGGATAGACTCTCCCTGAGCATAAGAATGTGCGGTTTCCACCACTGGGTCGTGGCTGTAAGCAGAAGTTGAGCACCGATGCCTCAATGCTCATTTGAGCAGGAAATCACGCTGACGTTAACCTGTCTAAAATCTTACAGCATGGTGCAATATTTCAGCCACTTAATTTAACACTCGGGATTCTTTGTTGCAGGCAAAATCGATTTTTGGGTCGGATCGTAGCGCGAGTAAAATGCCAAGGTTGTGTCGTGCACCCTCCTCCACCCGACACAGGCAGGTCAAAGAAAAAACGTGGTCATGTGAACAAACGCGGCCAATGTATCATTCATTGAGCACAGTGGCGTGCGGGAGAGTGATCCGCACGCGCTATCAAATCGAGTACGGAGCAGCGCCGGCCCTGACACGCAGCGTCACCCTGTGCTTCCGACGCAGTTGCGTTCAGTGGCTTTATGAGTGGTCCAAGTGGTGCGTTTCTTTACTGGCAGTGAACCCTGATCGATGAGATTGTAAGCGAGAGGGGAGTGAAGATCGGCGTAGAGAAGTTATTTGCTGACTGCCGCAACGTTATTTAGAAGTTAACGGAGAGAATGACCTAAACTTGTACTGCACAGAGTGATAATAAAAATGAGTTTTAGATTTTACAGCCCTTTGCCAAGGCCTTAATGGATGGACGTCCCCTGATGCCATCTCAGTTTTGTGGGGGTTGTATGACCATACTTAACCCCGCTGGTCAGTGCGGGTTGGCGACGGGGAGGAGACCCTAGGAACGGTTCAGATATCGCGCGTCACCGACATTAGCCGCGGCTGGGAACTGAACTCGGTCTTGCCGGGTTCACGCCACGGTGCGCCGACCACCGCGTCGCAGCCTCCCCCCTCGTGCCGTGAGTCATTTATAACGCTCCGCTCGTCGATGTTCAGTCACGCGCTCACAGCGCCAGGGGTCATGCACGCACGGTGCGTTTCGTCAGTCTTCGAGAACGTTTAGGGTTAGGTTTAAAATGCTCGTCCTGTGGTGCCTGGATATGTGTAATTTTTACACCCGTTGCCGGGCTGCGAGCGGGGACGAGTGTCACCACCGCAGTTTTACTCTGACCGTGCCCTCGGCGTCGCGACACGGAGGATCCGAGTGGATCTCGCGCGCAGCGGTGCGACGCTGCTCGTTGAGGGGAATGGAAGCGGCTATCGCGGAGCGCCGACCCTGAGCGATGTCTCGGCTCCGTGATCCGGTCGCGTGGGTCTCACGTAAAGGGTCAAGGCCATTCTCATCACTGCTCACCCCCACTCATCTTCGCTCATCCAGCCTGGGTCAGGCAGGGTTCAGGGCTGCGGATGCCTGCTCGTTGCGCTGCGACCTCGTGGGGAAATCGGTAAAACACCATGACATCCGTACGAGCCTAATCTCAGCCAATGTCACCGCCCCGCTCCCAATATTGACATGAAATGCCACGACACCACCTCTCATCGCTGACATGTTGACCTTTTTATTACACATTTGTTTATCTTCGCGGTGACATTTTTCAGATGAAGTCTCACCTCCCTGGAAGCGAAATAAAAAAAAGATGTAGCAAATGCATTGGCAGTGGAGCATCAACACCAAAGAGCACCCCAGTGCACTGTGTTACAACGGAAAACTACGCAGGAGGCTGACGTTCTTCACAACAGATATCAGGCAGTGGTAATGATGAATATGTCCCGTTTTAACCAGAATGTACATCCAACTATTTTATGATTTAACAGATATTTGACACTTTAAACAAGTGTCTCACTTTTCACAGACCATCGGTGCGAGGTGGCCATAATGTGGCAGGACAATGGATTCTTGAATCGACCTGTGCTGCGACTCGTGTGTCGTCCCCTCTTATTCAAGGGTTATTATCACTCGCTGGCTATCGAGGCATCGCCGCTCGGCGTAGGGGAAACGCAACAGGAGCTGTGTCGCGGGAAGACTTTGGGCCTCGTCATAAGAATGTGAATTTCTACCGCAGGCTCTGCACGTGGAGCCTGAGATGAGCTCCACCGACGCTCATCTAGCAGTGGAGAATTGTGGAGGCAGACGCCTTTGGGCACGGCGCTGGTGTCGGCGCATCGACGACGGAGTGACCACCGATTGGGTGATATCGGAGTCGGCGGGTTCCATCGATCCGGATTTGGCCACCGAACGCCACGCGCGATGCACTGTACGTGTATAGAGCCATTAAGGGGCTGCTCTTGCCTGCCGATTGCTCTGCCGAGTGCCGTCGTCCCGCGGATCGTAAAACGTGCGTGGGTAGGTGTGCTTGTGTGGGTGTGCGGGTAGGTGGGTGGGTAGGTGGGTGGGTAGGTGGGTGGGTGTGCTTGTGTGGGTGTGCGGGTAGGTGGGTGGGTGCGCAAGTGGGTGAGTGTGCGCGTGTGCGCAGTGCGTGCAATGAACGAGGCCGCCCGAGTTTGATTACCGCTCACACAGCCAACGTCGGTGACGAATATCTGAACCCGTTCGACACGGACTCAGATGGGCGCTTGGCGCAGTGTGTGTAAACCATCAGCGGCCTTGCAGAGACAACCGTGGCTGGGCGTGGTAGCGGCCACGACTGGCCAAAATGTGACATGTTGACTTTCAAAGCCGGTCGCTAAAAACACTTGCCTGAACCGTCAAGGGCTATACGGGGGATCTTTGTCTCGAGTGTGCGAGTATTAAACTGAATGGATTTTTAAACAAGTTGAGAATAAACACGGAAGCTGATAAATTCCCCGCACTGTTTACTGTGCCCGGCCCTCACCGAGGCCTCGTCCCCCCACGAGGGGAGGGGCTCTCCTGACCCTGACCCCTGGACACTCACGCTTCTGAGACCAACAATACTGGGCAGTGACACGCAGTGCGACAGTGACACAATCGTGTTTTGGCACGGTCGATTTGGGGAAGTGGCACGCAGGGTGGCAGTGCTTTTTTTGAATGGCTCGACACAGGGCTGCAACGTGACTGTGCGTGACGGCGACACAATCGTGTATCCGTGACGGCCCTTGTGCTTCACTGACGCAACAAGGAACTGTGACATCTGGAGAGACGGTGACACGACCACGTGGACTCTGTTATCCCCCACTCCCACCCCACCCGTCCCGTCGTACTACACAATCTGCCCATCCTGTCAGGGCCTCCAACCAATTCCTTCTTGACCTTTAAGCTCGGCGGGTGGCGATCGTGGTATATTTAGTGTGCAAATCTTGGCCGTGTGCACGAGCCACAGGGATCAGCTCCCCCCCCCACCACCGCCACCACCTCTCCCCACCACCTCTCCCCCGCCTGCAGGCCCAGACTTCATCGACTGGTGGGACGTACTGCTGGGTGGGCAGCGATTTCAAGGCCTGCACGACACACGGAAGGGTGGCAGTGGCCAACTCCATTCCGGTTGCCTTTGTCTCCCCAGTGCTGCAGTAGACCTAGGGGAGACCCAGGACTGGTACAAATAGAATCCCCCACTCATGTTAGCCGTGGCCGGGAATCGAACTTGGGTCGCTCGGGTACATAGTGCAGTTTTCTAGCTACTGCACCACCACTCCCCCATAAGATATACAAACAAGTATCCCCTGTATAGCATTAACAAACTTTTGGGGCAAGTGCTGTTATCGAGCACCTATGAAGGCTGGCACATCACACGAGGGGGTGGGTGGCCAGCACCACGCATGGCCACCTTGGTTTCCCGAGTGGTAATATATACCTGCACACACACACACAACAACCGCCAACATTCATCACTAAATGGAGGTGATGTCGCCACAGTGCTGGGTACTAAGCTAGGTGCGCTTTGAGGCTGTCACTTGATGTGTCGAAGGATTGGAGGTTATGGGAATGACCCAGGTGTTACGGGTTAGCTGACTGAGATGACTGCCAGATGCACCACTCGCGCTCCCTCCACTGTGCCAACTCGCTTCCTTTTAGCCACCGCATGGCAAGATGGCACAGCTCAAATGTTACGGTTGCAACAGCAACGAGCTAATTGAGTTCCAATACGATCCTTAAGGATCATCAGGACTCTGCGGCCACAAGTTAGATTTGGGGCCCCATCGTTCATGTCGAGGGTGACGTTTGTTGTTTGAGGGTTTTGTTTTGGCCGTATGAAAGCCGTCTTCATGGGAGGAGGCGGGGGAGTAAACTGATGAACCAGAACAAGGTAAAGAGGAGTCTGCTGTTATTATTCTGAGTACTTCGGAATAAACTAAGAGTCACTCTGAATAAGGGCCATTGACAGAATTGTGAACCTACTGTATTTGTTTTCTGTCGTCAGTCTGCGTCGATGACGAGAAGGCGGCGACCCGGTTGACTTGCAGCGCTGGGCCGCGTCCGCGTGCGGTTGGATCCGTCGGATGTTGCTCCGACGTTGGCTCAACGTGTCCCATGGTTGCCGGGGAGTCGCGTTGAGTTGCGCTTGCGCACCGCTGCCAAACAAATCTTGCCGGAAATGATTATTGGTCATTGGTCCAAAAGGAACCCACAGGCTGATTGCCCTGGGCGTCACTTTTAGTTTATTTTGTTTGTGGAAATTTGTAGTCTTGTTATTTTTTTGTAACACTCTGTGCAACTTGCAGATGCAACCTGATGAGTCGGACTGCCGTCCGATGGGTGAGCCTCGCCGTGGTTCTGCCTGCGCCACGAGCTGGCGCGTCATTTTCAGAAAATATAAACGGGGAGAAAAACACCTCCTCCCCCCTCGCTCTGCCCCACATCGCCGATGACCCCCGCGTGACCCCAACGCCGCCGCCCTCCACCCCTCCTCCATCTCTCCTTTTTGCTTCGCTCTCCGCTGATGGCCGATTGGCCCATTTATTACAAAAATCTCTCCTGGGCTCCCGGAGGACCGCGTTCTGCGATGGCAACAGCCTACGGCAAGCACTGTCCTGAAGGCCCGAACCGCTATGTGGCCGGCAACAAACGGCACGATCAGAGCTGTAATAGACACGAGTTCACACGTTTGTGGAATTGAGCAAGGCTATTATTATTTAAGAGTTTGGGACAAGAGGCGATGGCAGGGAATTTGAAGGTGCAGCAGTGTGAGGGCAAGAAGTGATTAGCATGGTTGGCTACGTATGGTGTGAAAGAAGTTCAACACATGCATATATATACGTGATGGGTGAGTGTGTGGATGAATAACTGAGCTGTTGTAACCTGCAGTGTGGTGAGTGGATGAGGGGGTGAGTGGGCTGTTGTGACCTGCAGTGTGGTGAGTGGATGAGTGGGTCAATGGGCTGTTGTTACTGAGTGTATTGGTTGAGACAAAACTGTCAGTCTGGTCGACCGAGTCCCCAACACAGGCGGAGGAAACGAGGAGTGAAGTTCACGGAAATGGTAACCATGGCAGTAGTGATAGAAGAGGGATAAGGAGGTGACTGACCCTCGGCGTGCAAGTGGCTGGAGTGAATTAGCCAGTGCTGGATCATCAAACAACCCGATTGCTTGACGGTTTGATGGACGAATGCAAATCTCGAATGAGGGAAGACGTTTTCCTGTCTGATTTGTGAATGAACGTTCGTTTTGACTTGACGCAAGAATAAGAAAAACAGCAGCTGACGGAGAAACCCAGCGGTGCTGATCATCATGTGCAGAGGTCGTGGCTCACAGAGGTCATGAGTCACAGAGGTCGTGGCTCACAGAGGTCGTGAATCACAGAGGTCGTGAGTCACAGAGGTCGTGGCTCACAGAGGTCGTGGCTCACAGAGGTCGTGACCCAGAGGTCGTGGCTCACAGAGGTCGTGAGTCACAGAGGTCGTGAGTCACAGAGGTCGTGAGTTAGAGGTCGTGACTCACAGAGGTCGTGGCTTACGGAGCATGCGGCCAAGCACAGGGAGACATTTTTCAATGAACACGAAGTTCTGATTCATTCTCATTTTATTTGACTGCGCTCCTTCATCATGGAAAGCCTCACTGAGTCTCGAGCCACTTTTCAGGAGGGTCCTGCCAAGTTTCTGCAGTCGAGGGCAACGTGCCTGCTCTGGGTACTCCCAAATGAGTAGTTTGTTTTGTAATCTTTCCGCATTCGGCTGTTTGGCCATTCTCAGTTACACTTCGTGTGTTCACCGTGCCAGCTGGGCGATTTGTGCCATTGCTGGCGATGGAGACAGCGGCACGACATCCTCAAAACACGGGCTAAAAGGAATGTCTGTGTTGGATTGTGGGTAATAAGTTATAATATAAACAGGAAAGGGTCTGTATTACCACAAACAAAATAAAACTAGAATAGCATTCATGACTGTCAGCCTGTTGGTCACTTTGGAGCTGTGTTGTCCAGTAACCTTTGTGTAGGCAGCAAATCCTGAACTGATTTCAACTCTCCGATTCTCATCAGCAGAGTCTGGTCTGTTTAACAAATGCCGATGTAAAACATTGGTCCAGAATCCTCATAGGCTAACGTACCAAACTATTGTTTTACGTGGCTATACGGAGCTTGTAATTATTAAAGTGATAGATATAAAACGTGTTAACTCGTCGAGAGTGGTATCTGAATGTCGTGACATCGGAGGTAGTGCTGCCCCCCACTTGTGGGAGAAGGCCGTCGGCCACAGACCAGGGTCCCGACCTTCCATCGGGGACCTTCGCTTCGCCATTGGCCAAATGTGTCGCTGATTTGTTCGAAGAGAGATCCGAATGCGTCGGGTGGTTTGGCGTTTGTCAGCATGACAAACACTTGCGGTGAAGACAATTACACTGAAAACTAATTTAATTTTAATTTTTTTTAGTTACCAGCAACACCGAAGTGTAGTGCAACTGGGGCTCACAGATAGAGACTCTGGCGCCGGGGCTGTATTTTGCACGTGTACGCACACGTGTGCGCACGTGTGCGTACGTGCGCGCACTGTTGACTGTAAATTGATATAATCTATTGAGCAAATGAAACCGGGTGTGCCTTTTTTTAAACTGCTTGCGCCAGCCACTCTGTTTTCCAGGAGTCACAACCTCAGCTTGAATTTCTTGTTTTCAATCTGTTTTCCCTTCATGGGGGGTGAGTGGACGTGATTTAAACGAGGAGGGGGGGGGGGCTGGGGTTTGGGGGGACAGAGTCAGGCGTTGATTTGCTCCATCGTAGGATTCTGCCCGCGCCGACGTGTTCCGCGAGAGCGGGGAGCCTGTGCCACGGCTCCGAGCCCCCTGGAGTGAGCGCGGAGTCTCCGGTCGCCCTTGGCGGAGCCCATTCCGCACGTCTGGCCTCAAACTGATTGTTTCTATTTGTCCTCCAAATGTATCCCGTTTGCGCTATCGGTGCCACGTCGTGAGACGAAGCGTCCATTTGGATCTCTCGAAGGGCGGCGTGACCCTTCGTGTCGGAGAACGGCCCGCAGAAGCGGATGCTACAAAGCTACCTTGGACCGATGAATGGCACGGGCAGAGCGGTCGTGACGTCGGTGGGGATGCCATGGCAGGACGGGATAAGCAGCAGCTTGGAATGGAACGTGGCGTGAGGCGTGAGCAGGAAGGTTGCGATGGGTGGGACGCGCGGTGTGCAGCGTGGAGGAGGGCACCCAGAGGTCGGAGACGAAAGGGGAAGACCTCAAGTCACACGGGGCTGGTGGTGAAATTGCCAGAGCGGCGCTTGCAGGATGTGTTGCCTGTGTAGCAAGGGGAAGATGATGGAATAGTGTAAGAGCAGACTTAGAAGGTCGGTCATCTACTGTTCATCTGGTCGTGGGATCTAGCAGACGGAAGGAAACGATGGCAGGCAGAAGCACGTCCGCAGTGACTTGTGGATGTTCGCAGCCGAGGTACGTTTTGGGCAGCGTTGAACCGTGGCCGCGGAGTGCACGCGCGCTGGCTTGGAGTCCAGGCCTGGCGGAAGCGAGAGAAGAGGGGGGAGAATAGTGAGCCAAGTTGGGCCTCGCCCGCAGCGGGCGTGCAACAGACGCACACACACAGTCGTGACATGTCGTTGGAGGTTTGGAGGTGAAGAGGCATACGACGCTGGTGACCAGGATGATGGTGGTGGTTGATGAGGAATCGACCGCCGCCTCTGCCCACCCGGCAGTAGGAGTGGGTTGAGCACAGTCGGTTGGCAGACGTTGACGTCCGCAAGATCGCGCCGGTCTGCCTCTCCCCCCCCTTGTGCCGCTCCACTCCCCTGCACGCACTCTCTGCTCCAGCAGCCGACGCTCTCCGTCAATCTCCCAGTCAGCCTTCGCTCGGTGGGAAGTCGCTTATTCTATTTTGCCGCTCCTATGGTCTGCAACTCCCTTACCCCTAGCCATCTGTGCTGTCGACTGCTTCCATCTTTTCAATTCCAGGATCTGCGTCCCTCTGAAACAATCATGTCCACTGTTTCTGCACAGAGTCTCGAGGTGTGCTCACACGTGGACACGACATTAATCCACGTTGTACTAAATTGTATTGACGGTTACGCTGTGGTCTCTTGCAGGACATCGCGTGGACTGCAACGTCCACCTGGCAGCAGTCGGTGTTTGTCCTTGATTCCTCGTTGACCCTGATCCCGCATAAAGAGAGAGCGCGGTTCACACAGAACGATCGCGCAATCGCAGCCTCCAACCAAAGTCTCACACCGTGGCATTTGCTCGCTCTGTGTGCGTTTCACAGCATATGAAGCGGACAAGAGGCTGCCCCTGCTGGAGATAAACATCGTCGCCTCCGTTGAGATTCCGCTCTCCTGTCTGGGAGAAACTCCACGGGAGCGGCCCCTTACCCGGAACGGCCGCGACCGCCAACATGGCTGCTTCCGTGGGGCCTCCCACGGTGGGCCTCCTCGGGGGTCAGGGCTCTTCGTTGGTGTAGCCGCAGGCACCAAACGACGGCAGAGGATCGACAGCTCCCCTCGTCATCGTCGCCGCAGCGCCCCCTCGTTGGCGTTTAACTCGAGTTGTTGACTCGTCGGGGTCCCCGCTCCAAGTGCCGCCCCTTTCTGTGCTGGCGAGGCCATCGGTCTGGCGATGAGTTCAGGAATCCTCGCGTCCTGCCACGGCGAGCAAGCGGCAATCTTTGCTCACTCTGGATCGCAGAGCGGATGACTGAGCGCCGGAGTCGGTGGAGGAATCCAAGTGGGCGGGCGACCGCGGTGGATTGAAACTGTTACGCTACGACAGCAACAAAGAGCGTGGCCTCAAGCCCCTTGAAGCTTAAAACCAAAACAATCCAAAAAATTTCGCAGAAATAAAGTCAAGAGTGGCACAACTAAAATATCCGATGCATTCACGACCAGGTCAGAGCCAGACACAAACAGTGCAATATGCTTTGACAAGGGGCCCTGGTTTTAGAATAGAAAAAAATTACTGATAAAATACATCGGAGTCCGTCCAGGAGTTTCTGAAAGACACGGAGCGTCGCCTCGCAGCGGTTGAGTGTCTCACCGCCTGAACGCTGAATATTGCCTTGCAGCAGTTTGGCCCAGAAGGGGACCCTGATCTCGGCCACGGAAGACGCCTCTAGCTGGTTGGCATCGTTGGTCGCGCAGCGGTAGAGTGCGGCCCGCGTCGGTGTCTCTGCATCTCAGCTCCAGGGCAGCAGCAGCAGTCGTAACGATCGACGAGCAACCGACGAAACGTCGCAATGCAGGACCCTCCTGAAAAGAACCATAAGACTCATTGAGCCTTCGCCGGCTAAATAAAGGATTTATAATTACATAATTACTGGCAGTGCTAGTGCTCCTAGTGTCGTGGGAGTACTGTCAGCGATAGCGCGGTTTGAGGTAGCACGAGCATCGGCAGTAGTGGTAGCAGTGGTAGTAGCGGTGGTATCAGGATCGGTGGTGGGATTGGCAGCGGTATCGACGGTAGGAGTGTCGGTGGGATTGGCGGCAGCGGCGTTGTTGTCTCGGCTCTCACACTGGTGTTGCCGGCAACGCTGACGCCGGTCGTGGCCGTGGCGGTGCCGGTGGTGCGCTACGGGAAGCCCCGGAGCGAGCGGGCCATGGGCCAGAAGGTGGCGGGCGGAGCGAAAGCGGCCGAGGCCCCGGACCCGGCTCGTCGGGGCCACGGCGGTGGCGGCGCCGCCTCGGCTCGCGCGCCCGACCTCTTCTGGCCGGCGCGCCTCGACTCCCTGTTGGAGCTGCCGCCGGCGCCGCCGGAGGTGGCGCTGAGGCACGCGTGGAACCCCGAGGACCGCTCGCTCAACGTGTTCGTCAAGGACGACGACCCCCTGACTTTCCACCGGCACCCTGTCGCGCAGAGCACGGACGCCATCCGCGGCAAGGTGAGGGGGGTGCACGGGGAGAGAGAGGGGGATTGGGACAGAGAGGGGACGGGGAGAGAGAGGGGACGGAGAGGCAAATTGAGAGGCACAAGTCCATGAGAATCACTCGAGCTCAGGGGAGAGGGAGCATGGCAAATGACGAAGGGGCCATGGGAACCTGGGGTACAGGGACATCGGCACCAGTTCATCATCATTCTCGCCGGCCATGATCTACCCACTGCTGGCTGAACGCCTGTCCCCTTGCCATGTCGGTCACACAGTTTGTCTAACCGTGCTTCAGCAGGCCGGTCAGTGTGGGTTAGCCGTGGTCGGGAATCGAACTTGGGTAGCCTGCTTCATAGTGCAGTGCACTAACCACTGAACCAGCACTCCACCGCATTATTAATGGTACTGTACATGATTAGTGACGAATATTTTATTTATTTTTAATAAATTAAATAATTCTGTAAATTGATAATGCCGCCACTGCTGAATAATTAAATCGAACATCTGTGCAAGTGACCACCACAGTGAGCCATGCTTGTCAATGAAACAAACAGTTGAGTGTGCTGGTGAGAACCTGTGTGTGCCCGTGAGACCCCATGCCGGCCAGACGTCTCTTGGTGGCTCTGGCCACAAATTCGCGCTCCACGATTTGATCGAGAGTGTGCGGTGAGGCCGGAACGGCGGCACGTTGAGGCCGGCACGGCGGCGCTTCTTCTCCGGCATGAATATTGCATCGTGCACTTAGACGCCAGCCCCCTCCGTACCCCGAGCCTTCGATTTTTTATCTTTCTCTTCTGCACGTCATTGCCACTGTGTTTAACATGCATAATTCAAATACGCGCGTTTTCCGTATGGACCACGCGTCGTGCGCGCGCTCTGTGCCTGTTCATCGAGGCGGAGAGAGACCCCGGTTAGTCCGGATAAAATAGCCCATTTTATCATCGCCTATTAAGGAGAGTGTGGTTGCACAGGGATTCATCATAGATTTTTGTGTCAGGTCGTGCGAGTAAAACGTGTCGCAAACCCTGCACCTCCCGAATAGCACGGTTGGCTATGTACGGTGCTAAAGAAGTTCAACATATGTACACACTAAAAAACTATTGCGCGAACAAACGTGCCAGTCTCTGCATTGCCGAGTCAAGGATGCAATGTGATGGGAATGGGAAGAGAGAAGAGAAAAAAATGCGAAATGAGAGGAAAAGGATTGGAAAGAAACAGAGAAACGTGAGCGAAGGGGTCAGGAGAGATGATGATTGGGGAGGAAGAGAGGCTGCATCAGGGGCTCGACGCTGCTGCCGCTGCACGGAGTGGAGTCTGTTCTCACAGTGGGCGGGAAGACGGGGGGAGGGGTTCAGAGTCGGGGTGTTAACACAGAAGTCACGTTATTTACGGGAGGTTTGGGCTAACGATGACGATAAAGTTGGTGACCTAGACTTTGATAATGATTGTGAAAATGATGACAATGATGGAAAATCTGAATGATGATGGACGACAACGTTCAACACAATGGTGACAACAGTGACCACCATGACGAGATTGCTGAATAAACTTGTAACTCCTCCCCGCGTGCGTGCGTGCGTCGCCCGTGCCGCCCAGGTGGGCTACACGCGCGGCCTGCACGTGTGGGAGATCCGCTGGCCGAGCCGCCAGCGCGGCACGCACGCCGTGGTCGGCGTCGCCACGTCCGAAGCGCCGCTCCACTCGGTCGGCTACGCGGCGCTCACCGGTTCCACCGCCGACTCCTGGGGCTGGGACCTGGGCCGCAACAGGCTCCTGCACGACTGCAGGAACCGGGCCGACGGCGGCGGGCGCGCCTACCCGGACGCGCCGGCGTCGCTCGGCACGTTCGAGGTGCCGGACCTGTTCCTCGTCGTGCTCGACATGGACGAGGGCACGCTGAGCTTCGTGGCCAGCGGCCGCTGCCTGGGCGTCGCGTTCCGTGGCCTGCGCGGGAAGAAGCTCTACCCCGTCGTGAGCGCCGTGTGGGGCCACTGCGAGATCACCATGCGCTACGTCAACGGCCTGGACCGTGAGTCGTGGCGCTGGAGAGACGCGTGCGCCAAGGAGTTGGCGCGGTGTCCGCCCGTTAGTTTTATTATTTACATTCTACACATTGACGGCGCAGGTTGTTGCGGGGCAAGTGCTCTTAGCGAGCATCCACGAAGGCCGACGTGGCGCACGAGGGGATGGCGCCCGGCCACCTTTGTGTGCCGGTGATTAAATATACACACCGCACCAGGTACTCATTTAAGGCTGAGCCGACCTAGAGAAGGCCCAGGATCGGTTCAGATAATCGCCGCTGATATCGCCCATGAGTGGGAATCGAACTCTGTCTGCGGGGTTCGCAGTATAGTGGGTGAGCCACTGCACACCACCAGCACGCACTGCAGATAAAAACATCCTCCATTCACGAAGTGATGGTGACATCACCATGGTGCTTGTGCCATACTAGGTGCAATTTAAGATTTCTTGAAGTGTCGAAGGCTTGCTGTCAGGAGGTCACGAGACAGACCCAGGTTCCATGGGTTAACTGCCTGCGATGGCTGGCAGATGGACCTCCTGTGACCCTCACTGTGTCAACTTGCTGAATTTTAGTCTTGCTGTTGCTACTGTCGCTTCTCTGTCCTCAATTGTTGTTGAGGGATGACTGCCTCCTACTGCCCAATAGCACACACACACACGTACACACACATGAGCCAAAGACACAGAGAAGCCACATTCCGTGCAGCTGGTTGCGACCAGAGTTGCCTAAGAATGTAAACTGACAGTGCTGGTGCGTGCGTGTGTGTGCACGCACGTGTGTGTGCAAGTGTGTGCGTGTGGACTGAATAGTGAGCAGTAGCGTAGTGGTTAGAGCACTGCACTACAAGACCGACGACCCGAGTTTGGTTCCCGCTCACGGCCAACACCAGTGACGATTATCTGAACCGGTCCTGAGCCTCCCCAAGGTCGACTCAGCCTGAAACGAGCACCCGGTTCGGTGTGTAAACATCGCCACCGGGGAGACAAAGGCGGCCGTGCGTGGTGCTGGCTACACCGTCCCGATTATGTGGAGGCATGACGGCCTTCATGGGTGCTGCTCGCTAACAGTACTTGCCCCAACAGCCTGGGTAGCCTATATGGGGGATCCTTGTCTTTGTGCACACTTGTGCACGCATGCAGAACAGTTTAGGTCTTTTGTCCTGGGATTTGATTTAAATTTAAACAGAAACAAGAGGCTGGGCGGGCGTGCGAGGGTGGTGGGAGGCAGGCTCGGTGGGGCTAAAGAGCAGCAGCAGAGCCAGCGGGACGAGGGAAACAAAAGGCGTTGGTAATAATACGCCAGATAAATTACGCCCCGGGGAAATAAAACCCAGAAATCAAGGGGCCCCGTTACCAAGGCACGCTACCCAATGCAACCGTGGCGCATGGTAATGTCCGACGTCGATTATTTACCCGGATTATGATCCAGGAGACCTCGCTCGAGTCTCACGGCGAATTTCCGGGAAGGCCCCAAATTGCCACGCTGGGGTCAGTTTGGGTGTTTTTTTAAATTATATTTAACGAGCGTCTCGCGAGTGGAAGGCGACCGGAGTACCCGGAGAAAACCTCCTCCCGAGCAGGGTTGCGATTTCCGCACCAATTTCCGCAAACATGCTGTTTTCGACCGCATTTCGCGGTAGTTTCTGTGACCCTCTTCCGCACAAATTTCCGCAATTTGCGGTGATTCCTGGGAAGACTTCCGCAAATCGTGACTTCGATTCCCGCCTATACCGGTGCCGTACTCGCGCGGTTGGCGCACATATCTCGCGTCTACCCACTTGCCTCTGCCGTAGCTACTCTATACCTACTGCAAATAAATACACTTTACTGCTAACGATAATAGCTCATAACATCACACACAGATTCAAAAATGAGCAGCACCCCCACCACCAAGAGCAAGCCTATCGTCCTCGAGCTCTGGTTCCTCGGCCGCCTGTGGCTCATGTACGACGAGGAGAAAAGCGCCTTCTTCTGCACCACGTGCTCTGCCGCCGGGCCGAGGTCGTGCATCTTCCACAAGGGCAACAAAGGATATACCCCGGGCGTCTCGGGCAAGTTTTCCCTCGACCGCATCGTCGACCACGGCGACAGCATCGGCCACCTCAAGGCCGCCGAGACGCTCCGAGCAAAGTCGGCCTTGGAGTTGGCCTTCCAGCGCAGCGGCGAGCAGGAGCAGAAGAGCATGGGCGCGGCGGCCGGCGAGTCGGGCGCCGCCGACTACACGCTCTGGCATTTGCACGCGCTGCGGTGCGGCTACTTCATTGCCAAGCACAGTCTGCCCTACTCGATGATGGAGCACATCTGCGGCCTCGTGCAGACCAGCATCAACTCGTATGCGGGCAAGCAGGCCTTCTCCACTGCCAGCGGCACCTATGGCTCATACTGCTCGCGCGACAGCGCAGTCGACATGGTGGAGATCTGCAGCACGTCCATCTTGGAGAAGACCGTGCACGAGATGCGCGAGGCCAAGTTCTTCTCGATCAGCTGCGACGAGAGCACGGACGTGGCATCTAGCAAGAACGCCGTCGTCATGGGCCGCTACGTATACTGCAACGCCATTTGCATCCGCATGCTCGGCGTCGTCTCCCTCTCGAGCGGCAGCGCCAAGGCCGTCTTCGACGCCATCATTGAGCTGCTCGATGGCCGCGGCCTCGACATCGAGGACCTCATCGGCTTCGCGAGCGACGGTGCGTCCGTCATGACGGGCTGCAACACGGGCGTCGCCGCCCGCCTCAAGTCAGTAGTTCCACGTTTGGTTTCGGCACATTGCCCAGCGCACCGTGCTGCTCTTGCGGCAGAAGACGCTGAGAGCGAGTACGAGGAGGAGCGCATGCTCGTCGTCGCGGGCATCTACAACTACTTCAAGAGGTCGCTCCCGCGCAAGGAGCTGCTCAGCGCGGCCATGGACAAGCTCGGGGCCCCGCACCTCAAGCTGCTCCTCGGCGGGTTCACGCGCTGGCTCTCGCGCGGGCAGTCGTTGCACAACATGCACCGCCTCGCCCAGTCCGTGGCCGAGGTCCTCGCGGACGACACGAGCTCCGTCGCCGCCGCCAAGTACTACAGCTACTTGCGCTGCGTGGCCTACCACGTCTGGATCGCGCTCATGTCGGACGTGAGCGGCATCCTCAACATGCTCAGCACGGCGCTGCAGGCCGACGACATGCACATCGTGAGCGTTGGAGGCATCGTCGCCGCGACCGTCCTGCAGCTGCGCTACACCTTCTTGACCACTTTGACGCTCGACACCGTCTCGACACCGGCGCTCCTCGAGCTCAACGAGCGCCTCGGGGGCAACGTGCAGTCCGAGGACGAGGACGAGGTGGCGGCGACCTTTCGCGCCGGGGGCGAATACGTACAGCGCCTTGTTGCTCATCTCGAAGAGCGCTTCCCAGAAGAGACGCACTCCACGGTACGGGCGCTCGCCATGCTGTACCCAGACGAGATCGCCAAGGCGGCGCACATCCAGACCTTTGGCGTGCACGAGATCGTCGCGCTCGGCAAGACCTACCTGCCGGACGCCTCCTCCTCCGAGCTCGTGACGGAGTACAACCACTACAAGTACTTTGCCATCGGCAGCTTCCGCGGCGTCGGCGCGACGGAGATCCTCAAGGTCGTGTGCAGCAACTCGCACATGCAAAAGTCCCACCCCAAGATCCTCACGCTCATCAAGATCGCTGCGACTTTGGCGCACGGGTCTGTCGACTGCGAGAGGGCCTTCTCTCTGCAAAACAACATCAAGACCGAGGAGCGGTCGCTCCTCACGTGCAAGCAGTTGAACGCGCTTATGGTTTGCGCCCGCGACGGACCAAAACTCAGCAACTTTGATGCCGAAGACAACATGAAGCGCTGGAAGAATGCGTTGAAGAGAAAGTACATTTCGATTTAAAGCTTTCGTGACTGCAGGGATTCATCTTCTTGGTTCTTTCGGTAAAGTCACGTAGAAGGGAAGTAATAAAATAATAAAAATAAAACATAATTAAACAATTCTCACGACGTTTCGGCCACAACGCAAGCAGCCGTCCTCAGGTGAAGAATGAGACAATGCCAAGCTAGGAGCTTATATATAAGCTGCGTTGGAGGTGGAAGAAAGAGCGCCTTAACAAAAGAATGTGCATATGAAGAGGAATTTAGCATATACATGGAAAATGCGTAGGAGGTGGGCGGGGGGGTTTCAAAGTCATATTATGCTCATGCATTATGCAGGATCAACAGCACCAAGGGGGGGTGCAGGGATTAGCAGTAACAAAGGAAAGGAATGTTAATGATGTGTAGCTGCAGTTACTCAACAACCACGTAGAAAACTAAAGTATAAACTACATAAAAAAACTTTAGTTTTCTACGTGGTTGTTGAGTAACTGCAGCTACATATCATTAACATTCCTTTCCTTTGTTACTGCTAATCCCTGCACCCCCCCTTGGTGCTGTTGATCCTGCATAATGCATGAGCATAATATGACTTTGAAACCCCCCCGCCCACCTCCTACGCATTTTCCATGTATATGCTAAATTCCTCTTCATATGCACATTCTTTTGTTAAGGCGCTCTTTCTTCCACCTCCAACGCAGCTTATATATAAGCTCCTAGCTTGGCATTGTCTCATTCTTCACCTGAGGACGGCTGCTTGCGTTGTGGCCGAAACGTCGTGAGAATTGTTTAATTATGTTTTATTTTTATTATTTTATTACTTCCCTTCTACGTGACTTTACCGAAAGAACCAAGAAGAAGAAAGTACATTTGCTCGTAATCACGCTCTGCCTTTGAATAAAGTACATTTGCTCGTAATCACGGCTCTGCATTTGAATAAAGTATGTGGTTCTTGTGCGGAAATGCGGAAATCATATATTCATTGCAATCAGTAGCTCAAAGCCCTGCGTGATGTTGGGACTTGCATATATCCTTTCCAATAGAACGCATTAACGTGTTGTTAAAAGCGCGCGGTCATAGGAGTAGTCTTTCCACCGTTTGCGGTTCACTTTAGCAAAAATGCGGGAAAATTTGAACCCTCCTTCCGCATTTTCCATGCGGAAATCGCAACCCTGCTCCCGAGGGGAGAACGCTCAACAGGTTCGCAGACAGGCTGACGTCCCACTTGCTGTGCTGGCCACCTCCTGCGCCACTCACTGCCCAGCGGCTTTGGGATGAGTTCACGAACCGACTCCACTTCGCCCCCTGCTGTGAAAACTTAGCAGCGAAGTCAACTTTCTCTACCGACTCCTGGCCACTACCGCACAACCCGGCGGTTATGGGAGTTTTGCACATCTCTACGTGATCCACCAACCCTCGCCTCCTAACCGCTGGCCATAAGCTTCAGGCTACACCAAAGCACAAAACTGTTTACTCAACGTGGAGAGACGGGCGACTCTTAGCAACCGTGGAGCTCTTCTTGGTTTTGTCTTAAACTCGCGCAACGCTGCCATGTCCTCCCACGTTGCCTTCCAGCCTCATGCGTGAGAATGTCCGAGCGGGCAGGCGAGCAGGGCGGGCGAGCAGGGCGGGCGAGCAGGGCGGGCGAGCAGGGCGGGCGAGCAGGTGACGATGGCGGCTGTCAGGCTTGGCGAGGCAGGAGGAGGATTGATGAGATGGAACCACGTTTCTAGGAGTCGGCTAAGAATGTGGGGTGCTGGCAGGAGGTGGGAGAGGGTCGTTAATTGTGGGGGCTGGGATGACTCCGGTGGTGGTGGTGGTGGCGGCGTATCCAGGGATTATTGGAGAGCGCGGTGGCGCGTGCACGGGGTCGAAGAGAGGCAAGCACAGCAGCCGCCATCACCGCTTGGGCCATGGGATTTCTCTTCTCGCGACATTTTGTCTGCGTACCTGTCAACAACTTTCAACAACGTTGATGACGATTGACAGGTCGTCAACAAGGATCGGTCGTCGTCATCGTCAATTATGAGACCAATGGCTGCCACCTTATTGTTGGCTATGATGCTGCCAAACGGTGCTCACTAACGGCACTTTCCTTAGTGGTCTACGCACGCGTAACGGGGACATTTTGGTGTTCCTTGTACCGTGCACGGGTCCAAATCCGCCTCCACGATTCTCGCCGCTCTCTGTTCCCACCGCCCCCCACAGTCGTGGCGGCGAACGCACACCCGGCGTTTAGTTCGCTCCAGTTGCTACGGCAACTTCGTTCAGGGGTCGGACCGCTGAGCCGGCGCTCGCTAACGGCACCTTCCTAAGCGGTTTACAGGCGCCTACAGGGGATTCTTTGGTCTTCCTTGTATCATGCACGTGAAAGAGCACGTGGCATCGTTTACAAGAGTACCACAAAGGTGGCCAGGTTTGGTGCTGGCCACCCATCCCCTCGTGTACTGTGGCGAACTTCAAAGGTGCTAGCTAACAGCGCTTTCTCCAACAGTTTGTTAAGTCTATACGGGGGATCTTTGTCTTTATGTACGCATGTGCATGCTCTCAGTTTGAGCCAGGCACGTTTGTGTGTGTGTGTATACCCGTGTGCTCACGATGCTCGTGTGCGTGCGTGTGTTTTTTCTCGGCGCTTCTCCTCCGTCCGTCTCCGTGGCCACAGCCGAGCCGCTGCCGCTGGTGGAGCTGTGCCGCCGCGCCGTGCGTCTGGCGCTCGGCCACGAGCGGCTCCACGAAGTGGACGCCCTGCCGCTGCCCGCCGCGCTCAGGAGCTACCTCCTGTACCACTGACGGTGCTTCCGCCACCGGCCCCGACACCGCCTCCGCCGGCATCGCCAGCAGAGTCGTCGACGCGAGCGGTTTCAAAAACAGCGTCGCCCACTGCCAACGCCACCGCGTTTTGATCCACGAGCACTGCCACCAGCAGTCACCACCACCTCCGCATCCGTTAGCGCCGTCACTACAATTACCAGCGGCGTCACCGCGACCACGAGTATCGCCACCGCAAGTCAGTCGCTATATCATTGTCACAATCATCATCGGGTCATTATCACTGTTAGCATAATCCTCATCAGGATTGAAGACATCATCATCATCATCACAGCCAGTCATGAGCATTGTTGGTGATCGTATTCATCCCGCGAGTCCCGATCATTTCAATCGGCACCGGCTCGACGCTTCGCCGGCACCCTCCGCCCGCGGTGCCGGGTGGAGAGGAGCACCGCCGTCGAGGCCGTGCGGACTCGGCGAGCCGTTGCCGACGGGCACGGAGCGACGAGGTCGTCACCCCGCGCCGCCTCTCCACCGTCTCCTCACCGCGGCGGCGTCGACCGTCGAGGAGCGGCGGGAGGGGGGGGGGGGCGCTACGCGCCGAGGGTCTCGACGAGAGCCGCTCGGGAAAGCGGCGCGGCATGTCCCGGGGGACCCCCGCGGGAGACGCGGCGCCGGGTCGCGAAGGCTGCGACGGAGACGCGGCGCCGGCTCGCGAAGGCTGCGACGAAGCCGGCGGCCGCGGAGGCACGTGACGTCGCGCGCGCTCGTGAGAACCCTCTTGCTGGATTCATGAAAGGGACCGGGTTGCTGCAGCGACGTCTTCCGTGTCCGGCGGAAGGTTCCTGGGACCACGAGGGACGCGAGGAAGGATGGCGCGAGGAGAGAAGCTCAGTCCAGGGTTCGAATCTGCCTCCACGATGCTCGCCGCTGTCCGTCGCCACCGCTACCCACGCCACGGTCGCTCGAGTTGCCGCGGCCACTTCGTTCCGGGGTCGGAGCGTCGAGCCGGCACCGGCAACGTCCTGGGTTGGATGCCGAGTGTCAGTCGTCCGAGATTAGACCGGGTACTCAAATCGTAGTACCGAGTCGATGGACCCAGCCCCGTTACCGATCATCACACAAACAACCCCCCCATCACATTGCTCTTGCATTTTGCACGCAATTTGGCAAAAAATTCCAGGACTTGTAATTAAAAAACACTTCAGTTTGACTCATGCCACCAACATCATCCAACCAACATCGCTGTAGCTGGGATGCATGGGCAAGAGCAGCACCCCCTGGTGTGGACTGAAGGAATCTCGGAAGCAGTTCCGTGATCTCTCCTTCTGCGGCCATTCTCGATCACAGGGCGATGTGCCTGCTCACTGCTCCTCGACGGTTCCCACTGCATTCTCCACCTCGTGACTTTGACGCGAATAGCACAATTGTAAAATACATGGGGGGGTCGGGGTTGGGGTGGGGGGGTGGTTGGGGGGGGGCACATAAACTTTTTGAACAAATGAGACTTCACATCCCAGAATGGTTTCTGCCACTATGTCACTAAGTGGCAATGTCGGTCAAGAGACGGATCGGTTGTCAGGGGAGTCGGAGCCGCATGTTTGGGATACCAAGGGGACAGCCTCAACACTGCCTGGAGAGAACGTGACTCACACCTTCATCCAGCAGTGGATAGAGAAGAGACCTGCGGTCAATTATAATCATAATAGCAGCATTGTTTAGCTGCAATTACAATAAGTATAACACTGCGATTACAATTCACTAGGAGTGACACAATTATCAATTGTAATTGTCCCTGGGTCTGGATAGAGAATGGCACCTTGCACGTGCTTTGAGAGTCTTGGCACTGCAGGGAAACCCAGATCGTGATGAATGAAAAGAGAACTTCGTAGGAAATCGACCTACGTTGGCGAGGGTCACATTTTGGTGGTTGGGGTAACTTGGCAACGTGCCGCGCTTGTCGCCGCTCGCCCACAGAGAGATGTTGACACCGCGGGCACGATGAGGTTGATGGTTGGGGACGAGGAGGGGTGGATTCTAACCCCTAGATTTGGGACGCCACGACCGGCAGCGTTTACCGTCCGGGACATTGGGCAGGGCCAGTGGAGCGGCCCGCCGGCCCTCCCGACAGCTGGGGAGCCACCCGCCTTCTAACCGCCTGCATTCAATAATGATGATGATGATGTACAGAATATACCGCTCGCAGCCACGTGTCTAAGAGAGCAGCGTCGCGACGGCGGCAGACGGGAGGGGGCTGCACGCTGCAGGAGCGGCTATTTGGGTTCCCGCAGATAGAAGGCGTCTGTCGCCTCGTCAGCGGTGGTAGTGGCCGGGTTTTGTAATCGGGGGGGAAGGTGCCGATTTGGCAGCCGTGGATCGGCCGACGGCAAAAGGGGAGAGTCGGCGGCACGCCGAGCACGCTCCCCCTGCATCGCCCGCGCGGAGACGACGCCGACGTCTCGTGCGCCGAAGCGGTTAGTGAGAGCCGCCTGTTGAGCTCCGAGCACAACGGCAGCGGTTTACCCAACGCAGCCGCTAAGTGCCAGCAGCAGCAGCAGCGTTGTCGCAGTGTGATGTGGGGCATATTGGCGGTGGCTCTGTCAGTTAGGGCAGCCTTAACAATTGAAAAGCAAAATGTATAATTAAAAAGGAATCCATTATCGTCATGCCTATAGGTATATGGTGACTGAGGCGCGTGAGATTTCGTCAAAGTAAAGGGCTGGTACCTGCCCCCCTGAAGACCTAACATCACGGCCGCTCTCCCCACCTGCGGACGATCAGTGCCGGCGCCACTCCACCTTGGGCAATTAAACGGCCGTCGGCAATCATAACGCAGATGTACGAAATTATTTACCAAATAATATATTTATATCCTCGCTGCGAGCTTGGCATGAAGGACGCAAAGCCACCGGCTCAGTCTGCGACTGGCACTGCCCGAGCATTTTGTACGATTTACGATGGTTTATTATTCTTTTAGTTGCTACACAATTTCTGTACGGAGACCGTTTACTCAGGGGTAGGGGTGGTGGGGGATTTGCCGATTGCACTCCCAGGATTTCCTGCTGCGGCCGTAAATTCACGGAGCCGATCGGCAGAGAACGCTTGTCGTCTCGAGCCGCGGTCTGACAATGTGACGATTTACGCGTGCGGCTAGCGAGCTCGTCGCCAGAGCCCGGCTGTGTCAACGCGCTGTGTCATCGCGCGCTCGAGTGCGGCACGGCCTCGACCTCGTGAACGCGTCTCAAGATGCCCTACAGGGACTGTCACCGCGGAGGCCGTTGGCGATCGTGCTTCGTGCCTCTCCCGATATTTCGTTGAGGTCGTGTCGCACGGCGTTCGGCACGACACCCGATGTTTCGCTCCGCGCGCCGAGAGCTTCGACTTGAAGCGACACGTCAGGCATCGTGCCGAACGCGCGGCACGACCCAATCGCACGTCCGAGAGCCGTGTTCAGCCATATTGAGCCATATTTTTTTACATTTCAGGAGAACCGTGAGAAATATTTCGACTTACATCCTCATTCAGACACACGTAATAACTTTGGGCCGTGGTCTGCGCCCTCCTGGACTTGACAAATTTATGGAAGCGCAGAGAGAAGTGGTCATCTTGGCAGAGAAACATAAACAACCTTGAAATCAGCGGAATGCTCATAAGAAAGGGGCCACGTGCCGGCCATGTGATTTGGGGTCGTGATTCGAGGTCCTCTTGTTTCCGCCATCCCCATTCTACTGTCGCTCATTTGATTGCTGCGTGGTTTATAGCGTCGTCAGCACTCCATGAGCCTAATTGTAGCACTCGCCATATCACTTGCGTGTTCGGAAATAATTATCACAGGCACGATTCAATGCATTTATCGCGACCGTAAAAAAACTGGTCAGACACAAATCAATGCATCGTTAACATATGATTTTAAAAGTCCTTATATATCATTATAAGCATATCGATAAAATATTCCTCCCAAGGTAAAAATGCTGCCACAGTAGTGTGGCGGTAGCACAAGCAATCCAAAGGTCGCTGGCGCGGCAGTTAAAACATTGTTATTAACCACGCCTCTGTTCACCCAGCAATTTTAAATGGCTATATCACAGTCGTGTGGCGGGGTAAAGTGTGGGTACACCGACCCCCTAGCAGCTACAATCAGCTGGAGCGAGCGGTGCTCTGAAACACGTTCTCATAGTCCCATGGGCCTAGAGCAGAAATGCGACCCCACTTGAGGTAGTTACTTGATAACACACTCGATTAAAATGGTTACCACATCGCCCACTATTCTTGGCCACACAATTAAACCGTAGCCACGAGGCGGTTGCCATCTCAAGGTGGCACAGAAAAGTGAAACGTGGACCGTAAGCGGCGTTCGTCGGGCCAACCGCTCTGCTCAAGAGCCACCGCCGGCGACGACGATTTAATGCCACGGTGGGCAGCAGCAGCGGGGGGGGGGGGGGGGGGGGAGCCATGTCCAAACCTCGGTGGGGTCCGCTCACCCTCGCCTGACCCCGCGGCGACACTCACGACGCTGCCGAAGGTCATTTGGTCATTTGAGCGCCGATCCCTTCACACTTTGCGCTTGAGCGCCGGCTCCTTCTCTCTCTCTTTCTCCAGAGAGAGAGTCGGGTCACGGCACGGTTCGCTGCGCAGTATTTAAGTGAATGTTCATTTTAATTTAATTGACCTCGATGCAACGACACACAGAGGTGTGCTCACGAACAGCAGGAGGACTCAACTCCCACGATGCCTTGCATGCACGTCACCACCACATTGCATGCAATGCTCTCGGCCTGGTCTTCTACCTCGCTGGAAAGCAGACAAACGTGTAACCAAATTATAAAAAATGTAAATCCTATACTCTAATGGAAAAAAGCAAATAGGCCATGCAGGCCTCACAGATTGTTTTGCTTATTCTCACGGTGAATTACAAACTGCAAAAAAGCCATAAACAAAGATGCAATTACATCATGCATGGCAGGCACACCTCGTATGCTTACGCTGCCAAGAGCATCCGAGTGTGGCGAACGGACTCGCAAACAGACTTTTTGCCTTATCGCGACCTCTATCACCACAGGGGTGAAACTCTCAAATCCCACACGCGCCTTCAGAAGCTGTTGCATTATTCTTTGTGGACGGCGATTTCTCCGACCGCCGTGCCAACGACGGTGAAGCCTTCATTGGGCTTGGCGGTTTAAGAACAGGCGACAGGGCCCTAACCGCAGCTTGCGGACCTGCGAGGTCGTGTTCAAACCCGTCGCGTGCGAATGCTGCCGGTAGCGTGCATGGCAAGCGAACGCCGGTTACAGATTTCCCGCATGATGACATTTTCTTAGGGAGTGGGCACGTTTTTTTGTGCAAAATTTGTTTGAAAATCGTTCGAATTACCGCCCGCCTATTATGCAACCCTCCGCCTTCCTGTTTAGTCGTTTCCATTTCAGAATCCACCCAATTCAACAAAAAAATCTCCAAAAGAGCACACAAGGCGTTGGGCTGTCTTGCCTGTGCACACAGACTGTTGTTGTGTCCACCACCACTGCCTACACCTGCCTCCACACGCGAGGGTTGCCACCTGTCCTGCTTTCACCACGAGCATCCTCTTCTTGAGGTCGCTGCTGGCACCAGGGAAATCTTCCGAGTCTTCCTGGGGCATAGAAAGTCCCAGTTTTTGTGAGTTTCCTCATACACCACTCCAACTCATCACATTTACACCCAGGTATCCTTTCGTCCAGCATTGTGAGATATATCATTCTTATTCCCCTCGCATCTCCTGGATGTTTGTGCCGCAGGTGGCAACCCAACCACAGCACTTTACAACAGCACCAGTTCCCCAGCTCGGGCACCACCAACCCTACCCCCATGCCGACCCATGTGCACTAGAAATCCAATGCTGTACACACTGTATGCACTATCAATACCGATCTTTGCTTGTACGGCATGGGGGAGGTGGAGGTGGTGGCTCGCGAAACGTCACACGGAGCAAATCGTAAGGGCACAAAGCACCCGCAAGCCAACGCCATAAACGCTTCGAGTGCCTTGTTTTTATTCACGAACTCCTCTCCTTGGCGATCCCGGCAGCTGCTGCTCCTCTCCCATTGCATTCGTTCATCTTTGACCGCTCGCGATCGCTACCAAGAGCCCGTGTGACCTCCTCCTCATCCTCCTCTCCCGCTCCACCCGAGCGTGCGTGGAGCCGTGGCTGGCGCCTTCAGAAGTTCTCTCTTTTATTTAATTTCATTCTGGGGTCGTCTTCATTTCACGGGCAGCGAAAGCGCCCGCGGCCGTCGTTCGTTCGCGGTTCGCAGCCACCGCGAGGCGTCCCTCGTCGCTTCGTTGTGCTCACCACTCCCAATTGTTGTGCTCACCACCCCGTGTCGTTGTGCTCACCACTCCTAATTGTTGTGCTCACCACTCCCAATTGTTGTGCTCACCACTCCCAATTGTTGTGCTCACCACCCCGTGGTGTTGTGCTCACCACCCCGTGGTGTTGTGCTCACCACCCCATGGTGTCGTGCTCACCACCCCGTGTCGTTGTGCTCACCACCCGTGGTGTTGGGCTCACCACTCCCAATTGTTGTGCTCACCACCCCGTGTCGTTGTGCTCACCACTCCCAATTGTTGTGCTCACCAATCCGTGTTCGACTCGCGCAACGTTCCTAGCTTCAGCGCATGCTTACAGTTTCCATGACGGATATTCACCCCGAGGTTGTACTTATTGTTGTTGTTCTCTGGGAGGTGGGGAGGGAGGGGGGGGGAGTTGTTTGTCGGTGAGATGTGACAAAAGTTCACGTTGAGGCAGGCGAGGCATTTTGCGCCAGGACCGATGAATCGGGGTTCACCTTCATCCTCGCCGCAGTTGTCAGCACGGCACGCGCCACGGCAGCCATCGAAGAGCTCAGCCGTCCGTGATCATGTTCATTTCATTTTCGCGCATTTCAATGTCCACGTTTCGAGGCTTTAAATTGAATGTCCGCAATTAATAGCGGCGGTGTGGAGTTGGTGGTGGGTGGGTGGACCCCGAAGAGATGCAATGGAGTCGCGAAATAAAAACGTGGGGTCCTTTCTTCTCGCAGCCCCTGAGGTTGTGCTGTGCGCCACTCCCGACGCCACGGAATGCCTCCGCCGTGTCTCCGCCGCGACCCCCACACGGGCTCCGCGTGACCGCTTTGCCATCGACAGTTCGTTCATTTTCGGGAGTTTTTCTCGCTCTCTCCACATCGAGTTGGTTTTTGTCGTGCGCGCCCGTTTGTTTTAGCGACTGTACAAAATGTCGTAATAAACTAAAATCTTTATGCAACGCCCATGGGTTGTCGCACTCGATGGCAAATGACACGTGCGCGCTCTCGTCTCCAGCGCGCCTCCTGTGCCCTGGTGCCCTGCTCTTACTCGGAGCGTGTCCCGAGTTACGCCACTTTGGTTGGTGGCGCCCCAGCGGCGAGTTCACGAACCCCGGTCCGTGTCCACGACGAGCCCACGATCTCCCGAGCTGCAAACACTCCTCGGGACTTTAACCAGATCCGTTTTGACCCAATAAGAAAGCAACGTCCTGGTTTGACATTTATGTCCATCACCCTAGGGGCTATCTGGACCGATGGACATGATTGTTGTTATGTTGTTGACTTCCCCCCCCCCCCACCTCCGATTCGCACGGTTGGATACGTGCGGTGCGAAAGTAATTCGACATACAGACCATATGCTGCTTACAGACTCGTGGATGTGTGTGATGTATAACCACCTACACGCCACGCAATGCGCTGTCTGTACAACTTTGCTGTGCGGTGCCGAATGGCTCTCACCGAGTTTAAGAGTCCTCGCCTTGAACACGAGGCCCACAGCACCAAGTAATGGTTCGGCGTCTGTCTTAACAGGCCACACAGAGCGTGTTGACGAGGCTGCACTGGTGGGCAGGGGCTTACAAACACAGACGCGAGACGCTCGAGGCAGGAGAGTGGAGGGAATGAAGGCGTGAACGCACGTCACGGAGACGCGTGGAGATGTGGAGTCATTAATTTGGGATGAGATTGGGAGCCGGGACGGGAACACCGAGGCGATGTTGGTGTGGCAGTGCAGGTGAGGAGCGCTGTGCAGTGCCACGAGGCAGGAGGAGTTCTGCTGCTGCGGTGGCAAAGCTCGGCTCGGACTCGCCTGGGATGGCCTCAAACAACGGGCAGGAGCCACCGGCTGCCGGGGGAGGAATGTGGCCCCACAGCGCCACCACGCAGCGGCAGCACATCGGGTTCGTTCAAGTTTGCAGTGCAGCATTAGATTAGCCAGTCCCCGCATACGTACATGGCTGCCTTTACAACAGCAGCAGCGACACTGCACCTCCTCGGAGGATCCCGGACGCGAGATTCTCACCCGCTCAACATCCAAGCGTTCAGCTGAAATTGCCACGCGTCTGGACAGATGAGCGATGTCCCGTTGCCTCTCAGGCTGTCCTGCCAGGCCGCTAGTGTCCAGCCGACTGCACGGATGCCCTCTCAATCCTGACCTTGGCTATCACACCCTGGGGGGGATCACAGCCGAAGGCTGGCGCTGGTCCATGGTACCGTGAATGCAATCGACCGCCTGCGCTCCGCTGGCGTGGCGGTACAGCAGACGCAGGTGGCGTCGAACTGGTGGGTGAGGAGGGCGGTGGCGGTCGCCCAACGAGCAGAGATCGGTTACCAGAAACCCAAACGCACCCTGGGACGCAGCTGCCATTCCCCCGAACCGATCCACACGCGACCGAGTGCACCCGCGATTCCGTTGTCAGTCCTGGTGGCCAGGTGGGTCGCTCCGAGTCGCGAGCATCGCTACTCCGCTCAGGTGAGCGGCTTCCTCCTCCATGAGGATGTAAAGCCAAAACGACACCTGCCGGTTCACCGATTTGTCAAGTCGAGTGGGGTTTTTTTGCTACGACAAACCCACAAAAGGACCCCTGCACAATGTTCCAGAGTGCAATAGTACCTGGCGGGTTTACACGACCCGAGGCAATGGCTCGCATCTACAAACAGCAGCCAGACCTCTTACCGGGAAGATATACAATGGATGAGTGACACCATTGACATTACACCGTTTATAAAAATCCTCTTTTGGGTGAGAGATAAATTTACCGTTCAGCGGATGTTAGTCAAGGAGACGGACAGGGCCGTTCGAGGTAAATAATGCCCCACTCCTTCTTTCGCGTGGATGATGGAGATGCAAAGCAACTACATTTTCACATTCAGGTGGGCAAGCCGGATAACCGCGTCAGGAGCAGCGGAGTGAATCACCGCTGTGAGGTCTCCTTCGTATGTGGACCAAGCATTGCGTTATATACTGTATGTCTATATATAAACTTCGCCGTTTCAAGTTAAGGCAAATCCCTTTACTCAATGGCAAAGCAAAGTGCAGCTCTTCAAATGGATTTCCACAACAGCTGGTGACCAAACGCAAACTGCCAGAGCAATCTCAATCTACAAGGAAACATGCCCACTTTTACTGCGGCTATTTTAAAATGCGATGTCATCTATTAAGCCTTTTGCTTATAAATAGGGCATTTACAAATCTGACGCAGGGTCGAAGCCGACGCCTGCAGTCGTCAGCACATGGCACGCAGCATGTGCCTTCATTTTAAGCTGGTGGGGGTGGGAACATTGGGATTGACGTTGAGGACCCAAATCTCCACGCAACTCTCCCTTTCCCAGCCGGTGCTCGTCCGTTTCAGGTCCACAACCAAGTCTGTCGACGAGATTGAAGGGATGCTCACGGTTTCACCAACAATACAACGCTGGGTATTTGAGGATTCGCCACCAATCAATGACACAATTCGGTTTATGGAAACATTATTTCTGCGTCTCCTTTGTACTGTCCATCTCCTATGTTCAGTTTTGTGGATTCAATGAGCATTTTTACTACTAACAATAACAGCAAGGGCACAATTACATAGCTGCAGTGCGAGACTTTATTTAATTTCCTTTAAGAAGCTTACAGTTTCTAGAGTGATCGGAACAGTCGACAGGACTTGCACAGACTGACATCAATAGCAGTGAACAAGCACACTGGTAAATGAAAAATCTGAGTGTCCACGCATTTTCAAAGTTTAGTTTGGCGGAGAAAAATATGAATCACAAGCAAGCCATCTGAATGATAAAATTTGCTCTTTTTTAACTATCGTGTTTTGTAAACAGATTTCCCTTCTTGAAAAATCGGACAGGTCAAAATGCAGACAATTTTGAAATGGGTTCCAGACACCACACGATTTAGCTTTCAAGTTCTTCCCGACTTCGTGCAGCCCAATTTTACCATTTAGACGTACAGACAGGCCACTGAAAAACTCACAACGTAACGCACACACACTTGACGATGAGATTCCCAAAGGTGACCACACCGTGAGCCCCAATAAACGGGCAGCTCTCAGGGCCGAGTAGATAATTAATTGGCAGTGTACACGTCACGTGCAGACGCCCTGGGCAGCATGGAAATCGACGTTGGGAGCCTGAAACGATGACCCAGACTGCAAAACAATCACTTTCAACTACGATCCGGTGACCAAACAACCGTGATGTTCCAAAAACCGTTTCGCAACCAATACTCTTTCAAACAGTGGGGTGCTGTATAGCAAGAGCTCATGATATTGATCCCTTAGTTGCAAGGTTTCTTTACGACCACTCGCTGCAATAAAGGACAGAAAGGTTGACACGGATACACGCCTACTCTTCTTGGCATCCCAACATTTTTAGGTCGATTTCCATGATACCTTGTGGCCTAAAGGCGTTTCATATCAGTGGCACTTTACTGATACAAGCGCAGTGTGTGAAATGTTCCACAGGGGCACCACAGGGCATGGGACACACGCGTCAGTCACCTTTAAAGAGCACGGGGTTTGTTTTGCAGGGAACAGGCACTCGCGCACGCGTTACTACACAACACAGGCACAGTGCTAGCCAGCGACTCCAGCCCGAGCCACACACCTCACCACCGATACACAACAGTCATAGATATATTAACGTCTGCAGGATAGTTATTTTTACAGTGGATGGAAGCGTGCAGATTGAGATGGTGCGCACGGGGAGTGCGTTTCTGCTCCGGTTGAGCGAGCACCGTCAAGCCGTGTGCCACGCGCTCCACTCCGGGTTTTGCTCGTGGGTAAAGTCCGCGCTTGGGTGTAGGTGGATCACAGGTGGCGGTCCGTTGGTCCAAGTATGTTCACGCCAGTCGCCATCCCCCCTACATCATTTAAATCGCAGTGTTTCATAAAGCCATTTGCGAAATAAATAAATTCAAAGTGGCTAATCCCGTGGGAATATGGAATTTCCACCGCTTGCTCAGACTTGCCAACAGAGATGTCGTTTGAGCAGACACAGACCTTTTAAAGGTTTTTGAGAAGTGTGTGGCCGCCAAGTTGTGGAAGGCGTAATCGAGCCGACGATAGGATTAATTTAGACAGACGCACACAGGAGGTTCTTCAGGACCTACGGCTAAATTGATCACACACCGTTGTCTAAATCAATCCTAATATGCAGAACCCCACTTTATGTTTTGTGCAAAGGCCCTCTTGTTCAACGATGTTTACGTCACAATTCGCTGCGCTCGGGAGTCTGAGGAGCAGAATTTTTAAACCCGGAGTGAGAAGACAGGGGCGATGGTTCAAACGGGAGCGAAGCCGGCACTGTGCACGCACACACATGTACGCACAAATACAAACGCACACAAAAGCTACGAAGACCCAGAACACAGGCCCCACCCAACTAGTCCCAGGAGGCCCGCACGGCACAGCAGCAGATGAAGTAAAACATTCAAATCATCGTTGCCAGCATGGTTTAGTACAGGGTACAGATGGATTGAGTTCCTCTGGGCTGTGTACATTTTGGGCATGCGAGCCTCTCTCCGGGCCCGCTTCACTTCTTGGCGTTGATGATGTCGATGAACTCGGGCTTGAGGGAAGCACCTCCCACCAGGAACCCATCCAGGTCAGCCATGCCCGCCAGTTCCTTGCAATTCGATGCCGTCACGGAGCCTGCGCGCAAACACACAAAGTAGCCTTTAACAGTGCCGTTAGCGAGCAGCACCTACGAAGGCTGGCACGGTGCACGAGCGGGTGCTGTGGGCAGCACCATGCCAGACCGCCTTCGTCTCCCCGGTGCCGATGTTTACTCGGTGCACGAGGAACTAATTTAAGGTCGTGTGGAACGACGTGAGGTTTAGGACCGAATCTGATATCACTCTCCATTGATATCAGCTGTGGATGGGAATTTAATTCGGGTAAACACATTCAGAGCGCAGAGCACAAACCACTGTATCTTCTCACTTTCCAAATCACACTTCCATAGAAGTATACATACAAAAGCATACTCATGCACACATGTAGGGGTACTAACACACAATTTACACAAGCAAACTGTAATATATATATCAATAAGACTACAAAGCTAACATTAATTCCAAGGAACGTTTCCAAATAAAGGTTTTCTACAAAACCCCCAGTGACAAACACGACTTCTGCAGGCATCGCGTGGCAGGAGATTCGTGACACCAAGTGGCCACATCTTCAAGCACTTAAGTTTTAATTTTGCATCTGTTGCTGCTCATTCAAGCCTCCAACTGCAGTGTGACAATGACCCTCACGACCTCTAGCCACCTGGCTTGCATTCCGTTGTGCAACTGTGAAAGCGATAGCTGCAGTCATCGCTACATCAGCATTAAAACGAGGCAATCCATAGTGCTTATGTTTATCAATCCAAAGTCAAAGGGTCTCCATGCCAGAACTAAACATGGGGTGGCAGTTATCTAAACTAAAAAACTAAACTATATTTTTTCCAGGTAAGGCGCACTGAGCTATATCGCTATTTTCAGAAGCAACCTGGCCACAAATGATAGCTCAACAAAGTGGATTATCGTGTGGAACTTTATAGCAATGCATATCGATTCTAAAATGGCGGGAAAAAACTGGAGAAAACTCCACGTGACCACGGAGAGAGACGCATAAACCAAATAGGCGTCAGCGTCGGGATCGAACCCACGACTTCCTGTATACCAGGCAAGGGAGTTAACATCTCGCCACCGTGGCCCCATGTGTTGTAGGCCCCAAGCGTCCGAGTTGGACTCCAGCACGGCCCTGACCCGATTGCGTCGCACATTCCTCTGCGTGGTCCGCACGAGCCACACAGGCATCGGGGAGAGCCAGAAGGCTCCATGCTAGGGGCCAGACCCACGACACTCCCAAGCGGGACTCCCCCCGCTTGCCTCCATAGATGATGCGGGTTGAGTTGGCGACAGCCTCGGACACGTGCTTCTTGAGCCAATGGCGCAGCTTCTCGTGAACTTCCTGGGCCTGCGGGGACCAAAACACAAATCAGCATATCACCACATGTCGTTTTTGGAGAGACAACCATAAAATCGATTGTGCTGCCACAGCGCATTTTTTTTGGGATTACTGTAGTGTGCCTGGCAAACCTGTTACATGTCTACTTCAAGGTGCAGTGCATTGTGGGGGCTAGCACTAAAACTATCATAAACACGCAATTAATTGTGGGAACTAGCAGTGCAGCTATGTTGCGGGAGCCAGCTTTGTTAGACCAGTGAAGGTTGACATGCCTGGGAATGAATATAACCAAAGGTACAACATGTCGGCCTTGATAGGTGTTTGCTAAAAGGCTCCTGCGTCAACAGTCTATGTGGGCTACACGGGGGATCTTTGTCTTTGTGGTACCATCTCACCTGCTGGGGCGAAGCGGTCTTGCCAGTGCCGATGGCCCACACCGGCTCGTATGCCAACACCACCTTGCTCCAGTCCTTCACGTTGTCTGGTGGGGGGCAAAGCAAGGCACAGCGGAGACTTGTCATTGTGACCAGACACGAGCGAGATCACCTTCATTAACCATGAGTAGTACAATCCATTGCAATCGATACGTCGTTAACTAATGTTACCATGCAGGGTGCTTCACACACGCACGGCCATGTGAGGGTGGGGAGGGGCGGCACCTGCGATGTGCTTGGTCTGATCGAAGACGACCTTCTCGGTGACGCCGGCCTCCCTCTCGTCGAGCTTCTCTCCGATGCAGGCGATGACGCCCAGGCCCTCGCTCAGGGCGTGCGCCACCTTCTGGCCGATGAGCTGCAGGGGGGACGGCAACGAACGACGGCTCAACGGGCGGCGACGTGCTCGTCCGTCGCGGCGTGCGTGAGGGCGAGACCCGGGGCATCGCGGGGGACACCCACAATACCCTGCACGGGGCCCACGCAATGCCGGTCAGATCGTAATCGGACCGATTCCATTGGAACGGATAAAATTTCAACGTACAATTTATCTAAACACCATTAACTCAAGAAAGCTGCACAGCGAAGGAAGACTCGTGCTATGCGTGGGAAGGAGGATTTTCTTCAGACGTTTTTCAGAGGCGAGGGAGTGAGGGGGTATCCCAGAAAGCTTAATTCCAGGGAATGGGGTGGAGGGGGGGGTCCCTACCTCATCGGTCTCCCCGAACACGTGGCGGCGCTCCGAGTGGCCCAGGATGACCCAGTGAGCACCACAGTCCTTGATCATAGCCGGGCTGCACAGCACGGCCCACAGGAAAGAGGAAGACGCCACATTACACGGCAAGTGTCAAACCGTTCCTCTGTTGCTGCGGCATCTTGATGACGGGGGACGATGGTCGAGGACGCTAAAGATTTGGCACCACGCCTTGACAGTGGGCCCTCTTGTTCCGTCGTGCGATGCTCCTTCAAGCATCAAGTCAAAATAAAAAGTCCGGTAACACACCGGAGCGGTTTGCGCACATCGCGATAGGAACCGAGCTACCAGTTTGATTTTCGACCGCGGCTAACATTAGTGGCGAGTGATATCTGAACCTATGAGTATTATTCTCTTCGAACGTGTGGGTTCGTGCCAGGTAATCCAATTTGCTTCCACATGCAAAAACCCTTAAACAACCACACTGGCCAAACATACGAGTGTGGGCACTTCTAAAGTCACAACTCCAAACTTTCTTGTATGGAAAGAAAATTGTGGTTATTTTATGGAGATTTTTGAACAAGTAGATGAAACATGCTGGGGCATGGTTTTCTGGGACAACTTTGTAAGACCACGTAAATATCCCGAACGATTCATGAATGAATATGGTTCATTTACTACACACCCGGGGTGAAAAGCCATCTCATCCATGGGCATAAATGTTGAGTCAAATAGGTGAGCTCATTTGGTGCACTTTAACAAAATGCAAAAAATTAATTGAACAAAAAAACACAACTCAGGAATCAAGTCAAAGGGTCTCCCTGCTCAAATGGCAATGAGGCGGTGGGGGGCACTAGGAGCATGTTTGGCAGGTCCCAGCCAGCGAAGAAATTCCACTTTAATTTGGACGCGCGAGTCTCCTCACCTGATCTCGCCAGTGAAGGCCCCCTTGGCCAACTTGTAGCAGTTCTGTGCAGCCACGCCGATCTTGGGGTCCAACTTTTGGCGTGCAAAGTCGATATAGATGGCGGGGGCACCGCAAACGATCTCTACAAGCGCACGCACACAACACACACACAGGTAACTTTACTCCTGCCCAACGTTGGAGATACAAACGAGTGGCCGGGTTGAGCTGGTGGTGCACGCTCACAGTCGTTGAGCCCATGCCAAATCGCTTCCCACGCCGTCGACACCTGCAGAGGCTTTCACGAGCGCGGGCATAGCTTTTAAGGAGGGTGTTACACCATTGCTGAGCAAACCACTGTGATTAATAATTGAGTACGGACCCACACAGGCAAGACACGTTATGAAACAATGTAAGCATGCCGTGTGATGTTTTTACGGGCTCAGGTGTAAACTTAAGTAAGCAATTCACAACAGTAAGGAGCTGTCGTATCCCAATCATCGTGAAGTAGTGACCCTCCAACAGCAGCCCTGATAAAACAGGAGACATGCACTGCTCGGGAGCAGAGCTCGTCAATTATAGTTTTTTAAGACAGCGATGACCTGCATAGGGATATTACTGCTCACCCTTTTAAGTCAGCCCACCAGCAGACAATTACACATAAAGACAGCAATAAAAGATAGGAGATAAGCCATGTGACTAAAAGGGAGACCCAAAAAAAGAAATATCAAAGCCAGGTAAACATTCATAATGACGCTCATCTCTGCAAATTAAAAGGCCCGCTGAAGTAGACCGTAGAAATGCTCCACCCGATCTGCAAGAGGCTGCGCCCTGCTGTCTGCCCAACTATTGCAGCGATTGGAGGGTCAAAGGCATGATGGGCATGAGATGTCGCCTTCAAATTTAGAACCTCCCGAGTCAGCGTCTGAGCTTATGAGCGGTGACCTTACAGGAATCTTGTACATTTACAGCAGAGGCTACTGGAGTCTTAAAATAACCCCAACTTGCCCTTTACAAAAAATTCCATGTCCTTTTATTAGCCTGGTGGCTACTCCGGTTTCAAGGGAGCCTACTGCACAGTGAATGTGCTTTCTGCACAGCCACCTCTGCACGTACTACATTCACCACGCGTTCAATAATGCAGTGCGCACGAGTCGTGTAAATGCAATGAACGGTGTCCCATTACTAACCACCGCAAAACCCCACGCAACCTGTGCGATACGCCAGCCAGGCCAGGCGGAATGTCAATCAGTCCCAGCTTCCTTATTTGTGCATCGAGCTGCAACCTCAATGAAGGCGTGGATCAGCATTAGTTTATTATAGCGTTCGTTTTTTTCTTCGCGATTTGCCCGTGGCATAGACGGGGAAGCGAAAGTGGGGTCGAACAAGGTGCCAGTTGTGTAGATTTCGGGAGAGCCGAGGGTGCCAAGGTGACACCAATGTGGGTCTTTGCTGGAATGATGCGTCAGATGACAAAATGGCGTGCAGAGCAGGGATTGTGTGTAGATTTTTTTCATAGCCCAACCCCTTTCTTCTGCCTTCCCACAATGCAGCCACTCCCTGCGCCCAGCGGCGACCGTGAGCACAAGCCAAAACGTGGCAAGGGTAGTGGGGTCGGTCGAACGTGGTTTGATTCGTTAGTCCGTTGTCCTATTTTGCAGGCCACAGAAGAAGTTTTGGTAAAACCTGTGATGGCAAAAAAGAGTGAATTACAGGAGAACGTCTTTCAAAACGAGTAAGATTAGGATTTGAGCAAGCTAGATGCAAATGTTCCAACATCCCTGCGCCTGGCAACGCAGGGATGTGGAACAGGAAATCACCTAGGATGGGGGCAGATGGTTGAGATTTGTAAGAGGTAGAAATGTCAGATTCTGCATTTGAGTGGCTGCGATTGCTGTGGGTGTGTATAAGCATCAATTGCTCAAGTGACACCAAGACGACTCCCCATCGAGACGTGCGTGTACAAGACGTGCCAACAGCATGCGGGGACCTGAGGCGGGCAGTGATATTATTACACGGGATCCTATTGCGTCCTTTGCACTCAGGCAAATGCCAACCATGCGCTCTGCTACTGCAGCGATTGAAAATGAGTTGTAACTTTCTGACCTGCTCCTACTGGACATGTGAGAAAGACCTTCATAGCTCATCGGATTCTCCAGGATAAAAAATAATAATCAGATTTTGAATTTAAACAACTTCCTATTGTGGGTCAACTAACCAATCCTTGGGCCGTCATTGTTAAGTTTTCATGCGAAAATGATTGGTGCTAGTAGTGACTTGTGAGTTCAGCTTTTCGCCAGTGAGGGTGACCACCGCAGAGACGAATCGATGAGATGAGCTCATGCGCCGGATTGCGGCTTTGCAGACCGAGGACCTTCATCCAGCAGTGGATAAACCACGGCTGATCACAACTGACGGTGCAAATGTGCACTTTTATTCTCCAACCCACTGCTCGATGACGGCACCACCACGCTGCATTAAAATCTAAACTGGTGCGCACGTGTAAATGGTGAGCATACCCACACTTTGCCCCACCACACACGACCTGCCGATACCGCGTACGCATCTCGTGTACACGCTACAGCTGGACTTGCTGGGCAGACAACTCCCCACCGAAATTCCGGCGCGCTAACCGCTGCGCTGCAAGCAACGCGACGTTGTCATCGCGGGTGCACTGCGGTGGTGGCAACCGCACGGACGGGTCCCTCTTACGGACACAACTGCGGCACCGCGAGTCAATTCGTGGTGCCACTGGCGGGCGGGCTGGGGGGGTCAAATCGACGGGTCACACGCTACCGCAGAGCGCCGGGTCAGGCGCAGTGCGCATGCGCGTGGACGACTCACCCCCCCCCCCAAGCCCCGCCCCTCCCCACGGCGCGCGCGCGACCTTCACCGAGCGCGCGACCTCCACCTCAATTAACACGGAACATTATGATGGCCGTGCAAATGTCAACGCTGTGGTTAATTAATGCGCGTTAAGAAACGACGTTGTATATCTGTATCTGTGTGTATTATTGTTATTTGTAAATGCCCGCACGTCAGCGCGGCGAGTGACGACATCCGCGAACGCTTCGCCCCGCAGATCCGCAATGGCGATCGCCGCCTTTGCCAACGGAGGAGGCTCAGAGGGCCTCGCCTATCAATCCCCTCAGCAATTAAGTCAAATAACAAATACTCGACTAAAAACAAGATTAAAAAAGACCACGTTAATAGAATCTAACGCTTGTTTAGCCGACGGCTTTGCCACGGCCGGTTGCAGCTGCGTTGCATTCCAATGAGGAGTCTGCGTAGTGGCACCATGTTCAGGCGAACCCAGCGATTAGCAACCAAACTACACGAGCCACTGTTGTTAAGTTGGGTAAAAATAACCCCCTCAATATTACAAGAGCAGCAATGCACGCGAACACTCGACGCTGGTCCTTAATAAATGACGTCTCATTTTACAGACCTCTGGGGCGAGCCCATTCAGATTGCACACCCGAGTTTATACGAACCTGGGATTATTGGTTGAGCCCAAATATGCACGAGAATGCGAAAGTGTGCATGCAAGTTGTGTCGGCTCTGGCGTGTTTATTTAGTACGTGGGGAGTTACGCAGGGCGACGATTTACCGGTGTTGGGGTCGAGGGGAGCCTTGTTCATGGACTCGGCCAGCGCGCCCAGGCTCGCCTTGTCGCCATTCAGCTTCCAGTTGCCACCGACGAAGAATTTCCTGCTTGGTGCCATTGCGTTTGAGTTTAATTGTCGAGGAGGGAGCTGACGATGAACGGATGAAGGTCGACGAGCACTGCGCGACTGACGATGGGTGTGCAGGTTGCACGCGACTTTATAAGGGCGAGGCGACCAATCAGAGGTCGTCTCTCGTGCGCGCGGCGCTGTCAGCCAATCGGCGCGCGCGCCTCAACAGCGAAGCCCGCCCCTCACGTGGGCACTGATTGGCTGAGCCCCAAGACGAGCCCCCACCGGCCGCCTGCTGTGATTGACGGCCTCGATGCGGTCACGTGGGAGATATTTGAGATTATTCACCATTCGTAGTGATTGGCGCCCAATTATTGAACCAATTAAAGCGACTTAGGTTAAAGCTAGATATATTATTGGTTCTTTCGGTAAAGTCACGTAGAAGGGAAATAATAAAATAATAAAAGCATAAAAAAACAATTACAATTCTCACTTTTCGACTGCAATACAAGCAATCATCATCAGGTGTGAAATCCAAAGCAAGAAAATTAGATTTTTTTTCTCGCTGTGGATTTCACACCTGATGATGATTGCTTGTGTTGCAGTCGAAACGTCGTGAGAATTTTTATTGTTTTTATATTTGTATTATTTTATTATTTCCCTTCTACGTGACTTTACCGAAAGAACCAAGAATATGAATCCCTGCAGTCAGGAAAGTTTTAAATCAAAATTTTAGAGGTTAAAGCTATTAGAGCATTCGTCCTGCTTTTGCCGGTGGTTTCAAAACGTCGAAGCTTTTATTGAAATCATTTTTTTTTATCTTCCTGAATATTTCTTCTGGAGCGTCACTTCCTCGAAGCAAATCTTAATGTCTCTAATTGCAGAATGCTTTGCCGAGTCGCCCTTGTAAAAAACTTCTCGGCACTACGAGTTTTACTCGGTGGGACATTGCACGCTCCTGGGTTCTTCTGAATCTTCCAGAAGTAATTTTTTAGTCGTTTCAGCAATCTTCCGGAAGATATCTTCCGGAAGATATCTTCTGAAGTCGATTCTGTATTCTGGAAGAATTCTTCCGGCTGTATGAAAACCGGGCCCTGGTTCGTATGGAAGAGTTATTCCAGAAGACATCTTCTGGAATAAATAATTATTATTCCCGGCATGACATCTTCTGGAAGATATATTCCGGAAGACGCCTTCTGGGGCCTATTAAAACGCGCCCACGTCTTCTGGAAGCACTCTGCGACGCCCCAGAGCACCACAGGAGCAGCTGCCGCTACCGCTGCTGCTGTTGTTGTTGCTGCTGCTGCCTGGGTCTGGTGCTGTGATCCTGTTGTCGTCGCCGCTGCTGTTGGTTCAGTCTCGAACCGTCGGTAGTGCGTGCCCCGATGAATCCTGCTCGCTCCGACGCCAGCCCGTGCAGCTCCAATGCGGGTAACGACTGCGGGCCGCCTCGCCTGGCTCAAGCCTGGCCACTAGGCCCTCGGAGGCGCCCATTGAATAGTGTTGGTGGCGGTGCCGAGACGTGTTAACGTTTATATAAATATAAACACAGACACGGATTGTGTGTGTGTGGCAGATCATTATATATACAGTATATAGCACTGTGCACGTGTACAGCAGCTTGACATGGCTTAAATACAACAGCTAACAGCTGACCAGTTTAACAGCTTCTACAATAGCTACGTTTTAACAGCAGCTGACAGATAAAATATTGCAGTCCACCGCTTGTGTATATAAATAAAACTTGCATATAACAAAGCGTATTTATATAGCAGCTTGCGTGTTTGATAGCTACCTCAAACATCTTGTGTGACAGATTAGATCATTTTTCGTCTTGAAAATTGGTAAATCCAGGTCTCCTAAAACCCTCTAACCCGCTTATATTTTTAGAACGTTTATATAAATTTCGATTTAAAGCTTTCGTGACTGCAGGGATTCATCCTCTTGGTTCTTTCAGTAAAGTCACGTAGAAGGGAAGTAATAAAATAATAAAAATAAAACATAATAAAATAATTCTCACGACGTTTCGGCCACAACGCAAGCAGCCGTCCTCAGGTGAAGAATGAGGACGGCTGCTTGCGTTGTGGCCAAAACGTCGTGAGAATTATTTTATTGTTTTATTTTTATTATTTTATTACTTCCCTTCTACGTGACTTTGCCGAAAGAACCAAGAAGATGAACGTTTATATAATTTGTTGTGTTTTTAAATAATTTATCCTAGGTCTGATCCAATTACAGTAGCATTGTTACGAATTCCGTAATTGTGCCCAGGTTTGATGCGTGTATTTTCTTATTGGATGCAACCTTAGCATTACACCGTAATGAAAAACTGTATATCCTGTCCTGGTTATCAAGGACATCGACTGACTTTGATTCATGGCGATGGTATTGGTTGATGGCGATATTCAACGGTGATTGTTCAGAGTCCGAGTCCAAGGCGATGCTCATCGATGGGCTGCACGGAGGCGGCTCCTCGGCCCACGTCAACGGGGACCGATCTCACGTGGACTTCCCAGCGCTCAACGACCTCCTGCAGAACCTGGAGGACTACACGCCCACGGTGCCCGCAGCAGCCACCCACAGTGCCGGTCTAACGAGGCCGTTTGACCCACGAATTGGCTTGAGTAGTGATACCCATAGGGGCGTTCGGTGTCAAGACCGAAAAAAGTCAACCTGCGGTTCGCGTGACCTCAGCCGAGATGTCTTGCCTATTCAAGGCTCTGAGTGATTCTAGATTTGAAGCTTGATACAGTAAATTTAGCTGTGACGGTCCCACCTGATGACGGAGACTTGTGTTGCCTCCGAAACGTCGTGATTTATTTTATTTCTATTATTTTTATTATTTTTATTTTTACCTACGTGACTTTACTGAAAAAAACTAAGAGCTCTGAGTGATATTCAGATGGCGGCTGCTGAAAACTGTTCACGTGTCCGTTTAAAAAATATAAATTTCTCAACTTTTTCCCAGTTTGTCCAACTAAAATCCGCCAATATTTCTACTAAACTGTAAAATGTGAGCCTTTTAAATGTTTTTACGTAAATAAGTGTGAGTTTAATAAATTTGTGTTGTAGGACATTAAAGAAGCGTGTAAACCTTGGGGAGGCCTTCATCCAGCAGTGGATTAATATGGCTGGTGATTATAGTGTACCACAGTACTTTTGCTTCACGGTGACTGAAGGTTTCATTGACAATTCCTTTTCGATCTTCAGGTTCCAGATGCAGTCACGGGATATTACCTTAATCGTGCTGGATTTGAGACTACGGATCCCCGGATGTACGTATGGGTGACACACCGCTCCATATCCGCTTTCGGCATTGTCACCCAGCACTTTGGTGGTTTTGAGACCGATGTTCTGACGCACGAGAATCACAAACTAATGAAAACGCTTTGTACTGGTGAAGTGTGGTCAAACAACCATCATGACTGACAATGCACAGGGAGGCCTTCATCCAGCAGTGGGTTGAGAAAGGGCTGTCGATGATGATTATTGCGGAGTCAAAGCATCGCTTAACACCAATATTAAAAGTATAAGCAATGAGACAAACCTGCAACTCCACAAACAACCAGCAGAGGTCGTGTACGTGCTAAGACAGCCTTCACATTTAGTGAGTCAATGAATTGTTACAATGTAGTCGTGATTAGATTCAGTAACTCTTTGGTACTTTCGTTTGTAGAGTTCCTCATTAGTTTTACCTCGAGTGAACCTCGAGTGAACAAGACGATATAAACGAGACCGGTATCCCCATCACCAGTACTATTTAGCACTGTGTTGCAGTTAGCATACTCCACTTGTTTTACCATTCTGTTTGTCTTTGTGGAAACGCGTCGGTAGTGCGGTTTTATAGTGGACAGTTTGACGTGTCTGATTCGTGTATATTTTTACTTCGATGTGTCGACTTATATGGATCTCTCTAACCGTCTCCATCCTTCCTGTCATTTCCAGAATCCGTCTCATCTCTCTTGCCGCGCAGAAGTTCATTTCGGACATCGCCAACGATGCGCTGCAGCACTGTCGCATGAAGGGCACCACCTCCACCACCTCGCGCAGCAAGAGCAAGGTGCGTCCTCTCACAAACCCCTGCATGCCTCGCATGTCCCCCCCCCTCGCCTCACTAACGCGTCCGTTTGTGCTACAGGAGAAGAAGTGCACGCTGACCATGGATGATCTCATCCCGGCACTCGGCGACTACAACATCAACGTGAAGAAGCCTTGCTACTTCACTTAGAGACACAAGTCCAGGCCCACACCTTGCGAACAACGCCTTGTATGTGTACTTCTGTTCTATGCTGAATCATTTGAGCAGGAATCTTCGCTGGGTGTCGCTAACTCACTGTCAGTCGCCTGGCAGAGCTGTGTTGTCTGATTTATTGAGCTGCGAGTTGCTATTGGGTTGGCTCGTTGAACTGGCCTGCAAATATCTGAATTTTGGCCTGCAGATGTCGGGTCATTTAGTCAATGTACCACTCGCTGTGCTCTTAACAAGTCTTCATTGACGGAGGCTCACCGGCGGCAGGGATTCGGTGTGGGATCGGTGGTAAGTGCACCACTTTGGCCAGTGTTGTGGGAACCATGTGAGTTGTTGATGGCGCGCAAGTTTTGTGGGGCGGTGTTGTGTCTGAGAGTGGTCGGTGAACAAGTGCTTGACGTAGGTGAACATTGCTACTCGCTCAGAACGTTAAACGAAACATACAAAGGAAGGAGAATGGCTCCGCCGAAGGTAATTGTCGGAGTTTTATTGCGTTGGCTTGGAGATGTAAACGAAGACCCACGTGTTGTAAACATTAAAATGCTACATCGATATGAATTGCTCAAACCAAGTTCAAATCAAGATCGATATGAATTTTTTAAACCCTCATGTTTTATGTTTTGAAAATATGAAAAATAAATAGTTGATAATGCAATTATTTGTGGATGTGTGTGTGTGCATGTCTATTAAACTGAATAGGGATATTGTAGATGGTCTGAAACTTCTGTAGACTTGACAATATTAACTTTTTTGAACTGGACATTTAAACCCTTGGAACACATTTTTACAACCCAAATACAACGCCATTCGTATCTGTATCGCACATCCACACATTTCCACAGACAACGTTTGCACGCACGATACCAGGGGTGTGAGCGACGCCTGCCCGACGAAGCTACGATCCGAGCAGGGGGTTTGCACCAGCAGGCTATGGAGGGCTGCTGCTGGTGCGAGTTGGGAGCAGCAGGGATCCGAGTGGTTCGGACCGATCCGGCATTGCCAACCCTCCGGCTTGCACCAGCGCTGCCTGTCGCCGTTCGGCCTGGTTCAACTAAAACGGAAGTTGAAGCAAAATGTTACGATGGTATAATCCGTGTCACAAGACATTGATTCGTGTCTTGCAACAGCTTCGTCTGGAGGGAACCTGTCCCAGCACGTGGCCTTAATCACTTTTATTTGTTTAGAATTTTAATGAAACATGGCGTTTGGAAATGCTTTTGCACAATTGTATGGATGTAAAGATTCATCGATTCACTGACATTTCTGATGCGTGCACGGAATCGATAATTATGCATGTAAATTATATGCAGATGTTATATGGAGACTAATGGAACAAAATAATACATACGAGATATTGTATTGGAAAATTGCACGAGGTACCAAATTGAAGATAAATTATTATTGAATCAAAACTGAAAATTTGTCAAGAAATAATTACAAACTTTATGACCGTTTGATAGCTAATGTTAGCCATGGCTGGGAATTTAACTCCGGTGCTTGCTGGGTTCATAGTGCACTATGCTAAGAGCACCCTACATAGCACTTGGAGAATTATGGGTAACTAATGATCCTACGCGGCAGCACGCAGATGGTCGACCATTCACCATGTCGCTCGGTGGAGCTTAGTAAAGGAGCAATCATAACTCCAGCCATGTTCCATCTGCTGCTGGATGAAGCCCCCAACGAGCGTCTCCACCTCTCACGATCACAATATAACGTGCATTAGCATCTGCACGTGAACCAATTCATCGCTCCATATGACGGTAATGATGAACACAAGTACATCTATATAAACGTGGAGTCTTGCTTAGGCACAACATATGAGGTCGGAAACTGTTCACGAGTGGGATATTCCTGGATGTGCGGGTACACCGATAGATCAACGGGACAATTATATCAGGTGTGTCAATCACCGAGTCACTCAGCGCGGCTGGAGGTGGTGGTCCCGTGATTCCCCCTCGCTTCCCCCGTGGTTCACCGGCGCTTCTCCGGCGCTTGCCTGGTGTCCCGCGGCCGCGCTCTGCCGGCCGGTGCCTCCGTGCTGCTGGAGCGCTTGCTCCATTGTGGAGTAATACTCCAGCGCCTTGCTCACCGGCTCCACCAGCTGCTCCTGTGCACGCTCACACACGGTCGCGGGAACGCAGCGACGGTGGCACCACCACCGCCGCCACAGTGGAACACGGCTTGTTGTTTTGTTATCACTACTCTGCTTGTTTAGCCAGAAAAGCATCGGAACCTCGTGTCCCTTTTTCAGGAGGGTCCTGTCAAGTTTACGCACCCGGGGGCTATGATCGACAACCTCTGCTTTAAAGCGGTGAGCGCAGGGACAGATAAAGGGGCAGCCGTGCCCTTGCTGGCTCGACGCTACCGCTAGCGCGAAGGGCTCCTGCTAGAACGGGGGTCGGCAACCTGCGGCTCCGGTGCCGCCCTGTGGCTCTTTGGCTGCCCCCTTGCGGGGAGCCGTTTAAAAAAAGAAAGGGAAATGTTAAACATAATTTAACGTAACAATAATGTATTAAATATGGTAGGGAATGGGGTTACTATGAAATGTCCTGGTGACAACAAAGTGTACAGTCAAACTGTATTGTTAAACAATAACTAAAGGGTAACAAACTAAATGGACGCAGTTTATTCCATAACCTATTTTTATTTAAGTCAGAATGTGTTGTCATCTGCTGTGTACCGGCTGCTATGTTTTATGTTCAAGTAGCTCTACGTATGATGCGGCTCAAGAAAGCCACTTTTATGGGGTATTTGGTCTACTCCACACCGGCCCAAATCGTGACAATCCACCGAGTGTCCGCGCGTGTGGATGGTTTCGGTGGCCACCTCCGTGCTCGCAAGCCCGGGAGCCGAGCGGCAATAGTCCTCAATGATGGGCCGTGTTCACCAGCCGTGTTCACCGGCCGTGTTCACCGGCCGTGTTCACCAGCCGTGTTCACCGGCAGTGTTCACTGGCCAAGTTCACCGGTTGTGTTCACCGGCCGTGTTCACCGGCCGTGTTCACCGGCAGTGTTCACCGGTTGTGTTCACTGGCCAAGTTCACCGGTTGTGTTCACCGGCCGTGTTCACCGGCAGTGTTCACCAGCCGTGTTTACCGGCCGCGTCTACTGGGCCGTGTTTGCCAGCCGTGTTCACTGGGCCATGTTTACCGGTGCCACTGCTCCTGGTTATTTTCATGCAAAGGTTGTCTCTTTAATGTTAGCCTGCGGTTTGATTTCATGTTTACGAAATGAGTTCTTTAGACTTTTTTAATAGCCATTTAACAAAAGTGACAAATGATTGGGATTTTTTTTTTCATCATGAATTATGAATGAGCCTCTTATATTGCTCACATCAAAACAAACATGGACACAATGCACCAAGCAAATTTGCTGCTGGAGTCCAGTGAATTAGCCTAGCCCGTGAAAGATGCGCTCCATTAATGAGTTTCGGCAATTAATGGCAAGCAAAAATAAAATGCACCTCATTATCAGCACACCTGGGCTTTCGTAAACACGATCCTGTTAAATTATAAATACTGGTTCCTGGTTTTCAACCTGGCAATTCAGTGTCTTTGACAGGGCTATTATGCATCCAGTGTGAGAGAGAAACACCCAGGCTCGAGGCTTGAACCCAGGACTCGCAGTGGTACCGCCTCGGTGTCTCCGACATGGCATTGTGAATCTCAGAAAGAGAGCTATTGCTTGGACCCAGGGCTTGAACTAAGCTCTCAGCAGTGCATGCTCAGTGTCTCCAACATGAGATAAATAACCAGGCCCAGGGCTTGAACCCAACTTCTCCGGCTCAGTGGCTCAGATATGACCATTGTGAACCCCAAGTGAGAAAGAGACCCCGGCTTGTAACCCAGGATCTCAGTAGAGCCACCAAGGCCATTGTGAGCCCGTGGTCCGCTGCGTTGATGAGGTGCCGCCCACCGACCTGCAGGGCCGGGAAGAGAGTGGCGAGCGCCACGAAGAGCGGCAGCAGCACGTGGCGGATGAAGTTGACTTGCGAGGAGGAGCGCGACACCTTGTCGCGATCCATGAAGGGCGACACGGGCAGCCCCTCCAGCTTCTCCACGTCGCTCTGTGGCACAAGTGCAGGGGCAGCGGTAGCAGCGCGAGAGACATAAGTGTTTCAGCGACAGCACCAGGAGTGAGCGGTGCTGGTTAGGTGCGCACTTCTTGGTCGAGTGCCCGACTGCTCTGTGCTCCACTGGGAGAGTCCTCATTAAACACAGCAGCCATGCTCCGCCTCGCGCACCACCCCGGAACGATCCCAACGCTCGCGGCCGGCACTTTCCCAACCGATGGCCGAGAACGTCGCCTCGCCGCCCTCGTGAACCCGGCTTTAATCACAGGTGATGGCTGCCTGGATTCACAGCCGGGATCTCACGGTGACCCGGAGCGAGGCGAGACTCCGTGCGGGCCGCGACCGCCGACGACCACGTCGGCCGGTGACGAGCCGCGGGCCTCACCTGAGAGAAGAATTCCTGCAGCAGGCAGTCGAGCCAAGGCTCCGCCACCTGCATGGGCCTCGCCTCATTGGAGATGTCGCTCACCTTGATCATGATCATCATGAGCTGCGGACAGACGGCTCGTGTCGGTTAGCACGCACTCAGGCACCTGTGTGTGTGTGTGTGTGCCTGAATGTGTGGTGCATCTCTAAGTCATCACAGTCAACCCGTGGCACCTGGGTCTGTCCCGTGACCTGCCAGCAGGCCTTCAACACTTCACGAGCCCTTAAAGTGCACACAGCCTGGCACAGGCGCCGTGGTGACATCACCGCCTTAGTGACAAATGGCGGTTGTTGTTGAATGTGTGTGTGTGCCCCGGGCATGGCGTTCGCCACCCGCCTCCTCACGTGCCAGGCCGGCCTTCGTATGTGCTCGCTAACTGCTTGTACCCCAACAGTCTGTTAAAGGCCGTACGGTACTGATGCTGCTGGACAATAGTGATGTGGAAAGTAAAATTAATGGACAAAACATGAATTTGACTTTACAATCGTTTCGCCCGAACATTGTTTACTTGCCCAGGATGCCGCCCTGGGTCCAATAAAAGTGCTCTTGCGTGACCTTACAGAGCACATTTAACATCGTTACCTCCCTGATCTCGTCAAGGAGGTTAAATCATCACGCAAACTCCGGTCATCCTCGCAGTAACGGCTTTTGGTTAACCATCGAACAAAGACGGTCACTGCATTGTACACTTTGAGATGCACTTCTGTGGCCGTCTGGAACGCTTCTTTCTTCTGATATTAGGAAGCTACTGGAGCTACACACTTTTAAATCATCTAGATTGAAAACTCATTTCTGAAGAACTGCTTTTTGTCGTTAGTTTGTTGTCCTTCGAACTCACCTCTGATTATCAAGGTTGGCTACGCACAATTGGAAAGAAGATCAAGATACATACATCTTACGATGCGTCAGTCATCTTTCGGGAGCTAAGCATATACCAATGCTTGCATGGGTCTTGCTGCCCTGACCAGCGCAAGAGCGTTGAGGGCATTGCGGTGTGAGCACAACACTGGCGCCAGCATCGTTTTTTCTTCTCGTCGCTGCGGAGGGCTCGCGGCGTCACCCCGGGGCACGCGACGCAGCGCTCACCACGTCCGTGTGCTCCCTGTTGCGGAAGTCAAAGGTGGGCAAGATGGCGTTGAAGGAGGCGAGGATGTCGTTGTGTCGCCCCATGTCTGTCGCCAAGATGCACCTGCGGGCGGCGGGGGGCAGCGGTAACGGGGCGACAGAGGAGATCCAGAGAGAGGGAGGGAGGGAGGGAGACCCAGACCCGGTACACGGTGGTTCGTGACCTGGGCGGTGCAGGCTTGACGTCTTCGCTGCCCGAGTTGACGGTCCCCGCGGAGCTGAGGAACGTCTCGCCATGACGCCACCGACGCTGACTTACAAGAAGACCATTCACCACCGTGAACATTGAGAGACGCTGGGGTCGAGCGCGTGGACAGCTGACGAGGAACGCTTGGCCAATTTCTACGATCCACTCTCATCATTTAAAAAAAAACACACCGAAGGAGCTTGACGTCATCCAGCACGGAGCGGCCCGCTTGATCGGCACCTCACCAAACGGTGCACAGGACAGTCCACTCATGAAGGATGATCAACGGGATGCGGCGAATCAACTCTCCTCGGCTGCTCTGGAAGCACCCCCCAAACACCGCGACCTCCGTCCACGAGAACAACAAGGGCACCGGCCGCTGCACGGTGGGGACGTGCAAATGCCACCACCACCCCCAAGTTGCACTGCAAGCCGCACACCCCATGCCGACTTTGACGTTCACCGCCGCTCGTTCACCGTCACTGGATCAGAATCCTGGAACTCGCTGGGAGGTGGCACGGTGGTGGCACCACCACCATCACCACCACCACCACCGCCACCACCACCATTACCACCATTACCACCACCTACCATCACCGCCACCCCATCACCGCCACCACCACCACCATCACCGCCACCCCCATCACCGCCACCACCACCACTACAAGGGCTGCTGGAGCTCCAGGGAAAGGCCCAGCACCAGCACCACCCTCTCAGTGCGACTCGGGGTGGACAATGAATTCTAGATTACCAGCAACGCCCACATCCCGAATATTTAAAAGACCAAAATATTCTGACTGTCATCTTATTAGGCTGGTTATATTTACCGGCGAAACGTCGTACTCGAATGATAAATATTGTGGGTTGACTCTCCAACACACCGGTGTGCTGTACTAGTAACGAACTGGCACGTTCTGTTTACTGACAACCCTTACTAGTTGGCTGTCTCGAGTGGTGGCGGGTTTAACGACCCATTTATATTCACATGATCTAACCCAAAAAAAACCTGTATTATGGAGGGAAAAAAATACGCAGACGTATTACGCGATACCCTGAATGTGTGGAATGAATACTCACTTGATCATGCCCTCACGGACTCTCTTGTACTGCTCCTTGGTCAAGTTTCGGAAGATGTTGCTTTCATGCTGCAGGAACAGCGAGCTACGGTCATCGCACAGCAGTCACGGCCTGATTGCCCCTCATAAACAAAAATACGATTCCACAGCCCTGGCTTAACAAGTACAGTGCTCTTGATTTTATCCATGAGACATTCTCGTGTTGGGCCCGTGGGTGGTCGACTCGCACGGCCTCTGCTGTCTCGAGGCTAGCTGATGGATCGATAATGGATGGAGCGTCACCTCCTCCAGCAGTTCGAAGGCCACGGCGCAGTGGTGGTTCTCCAGCGGGGAGATGTCGTTGTAGCGCAGGGCGAGCTCGGTGCGAGCGTTGATCTGGAAACAATAACGCGATGGAAAACACTCACTCACCCACTCACTCTCTCACCTACTGATCCACTCACTCATGCACTCACACTCACTCGCTCGTCTTCTCACTCACCCACTCACTCTCTCACCTACTGATCCACTCACTCTCTCACGCACTCACTCTTTCACTCACCCACTTACTTACTCACCCACTTACTAATGTGCTCACCCTCTCACTCACCCACTCACACTCACCCACTCACTTTCTTACTCACCCACTCACTGTCTCACTTACTGACCCACTCACTCTCTCACTCACCCACTCACTCTCCCACTATCTCACTCACCTACTCACTCTCTCACTCACTCACCCACTCACTCACCCTCTTACCTTAAGGTAAACAGTGACTAATGCTATCATCCCCAACAGTTATGGTCATTGTCATTACATTCAACATCATAACCGCACCTCCGATTAGCACAGTTGGCTACGTACGGTGTGAAAGAAGTTTAACATACATACAATATCACCATCATAATTATCATCATCATCACCACCACCACCACCACTGCAGAGCCAGTCCCACGCAGAGGGAAGACCCCATGGGGCTCTGTGCGACAACGAAGTGCTGCCAAGCCGCCCACCGCGACCCCCGAGGGCGTGGCGGCGTGCGAGCACCTGGTAGGCGTTGTTGTATCCTGGGTGGTCGAGGTCGTGGCACACGGAGGAGGTGAGCATGGCCAGCAGGTCGATGTGCTCCATCTTGCTCCGCAGATCCGTGATGCAGATGAGTCCGTACATCTGTGAAGTCACCGTCATCGTCGTCGTGGTAGTCGGCCACCGTCGCCATCACCACGATCGTTGTTTGTTTCCTGATGACTGTTTTTAAATTGGCGCCTGAATAGTGGCCTAGTTGTATCTATTGAGTATCAGACAAACCCCTCAATAATAATTATCAAAGACGTACGACTCAATAAACTAAGAGTTTTATCACGGCGGCTGAAACCCGGATTCGAACCCAGGTATCGGCATTGCCGGCTCAACAAATTACAAACAGAAAAGTAAGTAAAAGTAAAATCTACTTGGGAAGAGATTGGGATAAGGAGGAGGGGGGGGCAGTGCCGGATTAAGCTAGTGCGGGGCCTGTAGCATATGTTATAAAGGGGCCCTAAATAATAAAAAAAACACGTACATTTTAAAACACACATTTTTTACTTACATAGTAAAGTAATTGTATTTTTTCATTTGCTATACAGCCAGATAATCCGACAAATCGCTCACCTTAAACACCCAGTCGTTCATAAAAGTTGAAGGCAGTATAATACTATAGTAATAGAGCAAGTGCAGTATCACTGAACCAGAATTGGTAGCTTGATAGCATTTAGCGCGGGGCCCTTGAAAGTGCGGGGCCCCTAGCACACGTGGCTACTTGTGCTTCAAGCAAGTTCAGAGGGCCTTCCCCGTGGCCGTGCGTGGGCTCCCGCCTCACCATCTGCGAGACGCAGAAGCAGTGCTGGAAGTTGTGGAAGGGGATGTGGTTGTAGCGCGCGTAGACGCGCAGCAGCAGGCGGCGCAGCACGCGCCGCTCCACGCCGAACGCGGACACCAGCTCCAGGTCGAGGAACATCTGCAGCAGCAGCAGCAGCATCTCGGCATCCTCCCACTGCCTGCACGGGGTACGTGGCGGGCACGTGGCGGGCACGCGGTGGGTGACGCGCCCAACGGGCAACGGGCGACGAGGGGCGACGGGCAGGTTAGTCCATGGCTCACGAGGCTCGATGCTCACGCTTAACCCCTTACCCGCACACAAATTATAAACTAAAACTATACAAATATATATTTTGCTAGCTAAGGCCCACTGAGCTGTGTAGCTCTTTTTCAGGAGCGACCTGGCTATCACAAAGGACAGCTCAACGAAGTGGCTTATCGCGTGGAAATATCTATCAGCCAAATACTTGAAATGCATGTTGATTCTAAATGTGGACCCGGAGAGAAAACCACGTGACCACGGGCAGAACGTGCAAAGTCCAAATATACTACAGGCGTCAGGGTCGAAATCGATCCTACGACCTCCTGCATACTAGGCGAGGTAATTAACATCTCACCACCATGGTACCCTTCTGGCTGTTGTGCACGGGAAGGAGTCGAATGACATCGTGTGCGTTGTACTGCGAGGCGACCGCGCGTCACCACTCTGTGCAGAGCGAGTGGACACCGTGACTTTATAGAGCGAGTGTGTGTGTCTCCCTCTGCGTCTGTGGGTCTCTGTGTGAGTCTATGGGTCTCTGAGTGTGTGTGTCTCCCTCTGCGTCTGTGGGTCTCTGTGTGAGTCTATGGTCTCTATGTAAGTCTATGGGTCTCTGAGTGTGTGTGTCTCCCTCTGAGTCTGTGGGTATCTATGTGAGTCTATGGGTCTCTGTGCGAGTCTACACAAAGCAATTACAATGGGGGTTTTCTTTCGTCAGCCATATCTATTTTTTTAAGATGATGACCGTGATGAGGACGACCCTAACGATGACAATGGTGATGACGACCGTGACTAGCGATGACAGTGATGGTGATGATCACCGCGATGACGATCGCCGTGACGACGACGAGGATGATGGCGACGACGTACCAGTTGTCAAAAGTGGGCGTCTTGAGGCAGCGTCTGACCTCCTCTGTCAACTCGACGTCGCTGCAACACACGCACGGGCGACAACGGATCGAGCGCGCGCGTCGCGTTCTCGGTTCGGCTGCCGTGCACCTCCGTACCCGCGGCCGTCACACCGCGGCGAAGGGGAGTCGAGCCAAGGGACACGATTGGGACAGGGAAGGGATGCCGTGATGGAAGTCGCCAAGGCGGAAGAAAGCAGGAGGAGGGCCGGGCAGGCACGGGAGGGGGAGGAGGAGGAGGGGGAGAAGGAATGGCCGGGCCGAGATGTCGGGGATGAGAGGAGAGGGCCTGCCAGGTTGTCGTTGCTGCCGTGTGATCCCAATTGAGTGGCGATGTGCAGGTCAGTTGTCAGCATTGGGATGTTTGGCCCATTCTAGTTGCATGTTTTGGGTTATTTTGCTTTATGGGAGGAAACCAGAGAACTTAGGGGAAACTCAACACGGGCAGAACACGGGGAGAATATTCAAACTTCAAATATACAGCAGCAGGCGTCAGGGTCGGGATCAATCCCACGACCTCCTGTATACACGGCGAGGCGGTTAACATCTCGCCACGGCGGCGCCCTCCGTGAGGCCTGAGCGGTCTCGCGGAGCGAGCCGGCGGGACGTGGAGACGCGGGGACGAGGGGCGAGGGGGTGTGGGGATGAGGGGGCGTGGGGGCGAGGCGACGCACCACACTTGCAAGAAGCGCTCCTCGACGCGGGAGCACTCGGCGCTGGTCTTCCTGAGCAGGCGCCGGTGGTAGAAGGGGGAGAGATTTGCCGCCTCCTGGTTCAGGTCCTTGAAGAGGCCCAGCCAGCTCAGGTGCTCCACCGTCTGCGGGGACGACGGTGACGACATTTGAGCGGTGCAGACGTGAGCGGCGCAGACGCAGTTGGGCGGGTCGTCTCGCTGGGACCTCCGTTCACTCTCGGAGACAGAGAACGATTCAGAGCCACGATCGGCGCTAACAATTGCCCAAGCTCTGTGGGCCTATATTGGGATGTCTGGCGATGGAGGGTGTGTGGGGGGGGGGGGGGTAACACTCAATGTCCATAGAGATGGAAATTAACCCGCTTGCTGTACTGCCATCGTACCCAGGCGAGGCCAGTAAACGCAACATCACCACCCATGGGTATGGAGGAAGTTTCCCGAACGCTCTGTGTGCGATCCACCAACCCCTGCGTGCGAGGCCACGTGCAGCACGGACTCGAGCGCCCGGCCCGTGGCAGAGGGTCGTCAGCGACAAGGGGATTGACGAGGCCGGTGGAGGGAAGCAGGAAGAGGTGAAGGCAGAAAATGGGATGGTGGGTGGAGGTGAGATTGTTTGGGGGAATGCAAGTGGGTGGAGGTGGTTACCACGGTTGGCTACGCACAGTGCGAGCGAAGTTCAACAGGCGTGCGGAGCGGAAGACATTGGGGGAGGCCTTTGTCCAGCAGTGGGATGTAAAAACGGCTGAGAGAGAGAGAGGAGAATGACGATGAAGGCAGAGCGAGTTGACAGCCGAGGCATCCGCGGCTGCTGGCGTGTGGAGGTGAGCGGCTGGACTCACCTCGAGCTTCTTGCGAAAGGACGCGACCTCGCGCTGGAGGTCGAGGAGGCCCGGAGGCCGGTCCCCAATGCCGGCCACAACCGTCCTCTCCAGGCTTTCCACTCTGCTCGCGGGACACGCGGGCGGGCGCACGCACGTGCAGGCAGCGAGACAACGTACGGAGTGAGACAAAGTACAGGAGACGATGAGGTAACGGACATCGAGATAGACAGTGCGGAAAAACAAATCACGAGAGAGACAGACAGACAGGAAATGAGACAAACACTGAGGCAACGGGCAGCCATCGAAGGGATATCCACTGAGACGGACACATAGATAGACAATAAACAAGCATTGTGATATTGAAACATAAGCGAAAGACATTGAGATTAAATAGACAGGCGGATGGACATAAACCCATTGAGACAGCTACGGTGACAATCTGACATAACAAGACAAAGGTGGAGAGGGAGACCGACAGTGAGACACCATTACCTGACAACCCACACGGGGAAACCGTATGGGTTGACAGGTATAGGACCCAGATTGTCGCTGTTCTGCTTCCCTGAGGTGTTTCACCAACGTCACGAATCAACCCTCGGCACGAACTGATGGTACCTCCTCCTCCTCCTCCCCCCCTCCTCCCCCCTCCTCCCTCCTTCTCCTCCCTCCTTATCCCCCCCTCCTCCCTCCTACTTCTTCTCCCTCCCTCCTCCCCCCTCCCCCTCCTCCTCCCTCCTTCTCCTCCCTCCTTATCCCCCCCTCCTCCCTCCTCCTCCTTCCCCCTCCTCCTCCCCCCCTCCTCCCCCCTCCTCCCTCCTTCTCCTCCCTCCTTATCCCCCCCTCCTCCCTCCTCCTCCTTCTCCCTCCTCCCTCCTCCTCCTCCTCCTCCTCCTCAGCATGGACACACCCTCTCACCTCTTCTCCAAGTCCAGGAGGTCAAATCCCAGCGAGGGGATCAGCTTGGGACCTGCATCACGCGGGCCCACAAGACAGACGAATGGGGCAAGTGCTCCGTGCTGGTGAGCGTGCAGGTGGTGAGCGTGTGGGCGGTGAGCGTGCGAGTGGTGAGTGTGTGGGTGGTGAGTGTGGGGGTGGTGAGTGTGTGGGTGGTGAGTGTGGGGGTGGTGAGTGTGTGGGTGGTGAGCGTGCGGGTGGTGAGTGTGTGGGTGGTGAGTGTGGGGGTGGTGAGTGTGTGGGTGGTGAGTGTGGGGGTGGTGAGTGTGTGGGTGGTGAGCGTGCGGGTGGTGAGTGTGGGTGGTGAGTGTGTGGGTGGTGAGTGTGGGGGTGGTGAGTGTGTGGGTGGTGAGTGTGGGGGTGGTGAGTGTGTGGGTGGTGAGCGTGCGGGTGGTGAGTGTGTGGGTGGTGAGTGTGGGGGTGGTGAGTGTGTGGGTGGTGAGTGTGGGTGGTGAGTGTGTGGGTGGTGAGTGCTGGGCGGTGAGCGAGGGTCTCACACTGCGAGGCCACCACGATGAGGGAGTACGGCTGCTCGCTGCTGTTGGCTGCCAGCGCCGGGGAGACGTTGACGAGGTGTCCGCTGGCGTTGTACAGCTTCACGATGTCTCCCGGCTTCGCCTCCGCGGCCGCACGGAACAGCTCTGCGCGAGATCGTCGTCGTCGTCATCGTCATGATCAAGATCAACGCGATCGGGGTCATCATCACGATCATCATCACGATCATCAACATTATCGTCGTCGTCATTGGGTTCTTCGTGATTATTATCATCAAGATCGTCATCAATCAGCATCGTTATCATACTTGTGTGTGTGTGTGTACACGTGCATGTTAATGCACCTAGCAAAGTGCACCTAGCATGGCACAAGTGCCGTGGAGACGTCACCACCACTTAGCGGTGAACGGCGGCTGTTGTTGTGTATCTGACGCCGCGAGTGGTGGCGCAGCGGTCGGCGCACCGCGCTACAAACCACGCTATCCTGGGTTCGATTCCTGGCCACAGCTGACACCGGTGACGAGTGATATGAGATCCATCCATCTGGGTCGCCTCAGCCTGAGATGGGTACCTGGTGCAGCGTGTGAAGACATCGACACAAAGTCCGCCTGGCAGTGTGCCGACCGCACCACCGCGTCCAGCATCACAGCGGCCAACGAAGAGGGGAAGCTCTCGGTGATTTAGCCATGCAGCTGCATTGTCCGAGAGTCGGTGAAATACAAAGATACACCCAGCCACACGGGACGGTGTCTTCAAGAGGTGCTCACTAACAGCACTTACACCAGCAGCCTACAAAGGCTATATGGGAATCTTTGTATCTACGCACGTGTAGACGTGTGTAGGTGTGTGCGCATGTGCTGTGTGAGTGGGGAGCGGCGCTGTAGCAGTGAGTGCGCTGAACTACGAACCCGGCAACCCGAGTTTCCGCTCACGACCACACACGATTATCTGAACCGGTTCTGGGCCTCCCCTAGGTCGACTCAGCATCAAATGAGTACCTGGTGCGGTGTGTAAACATCGCCACTGGGGAGACAAATGTGGTCGGGCGTGGCGCTGGCCACCCACCCCCTCGTGTGCCATGCCGGCCTTCACAGGTGCTACTCGCTAACAGCACTTGCCCCAACAGTCTGTTAAGGCTATAAGGGGGATCTTTGTCTTTGTGGTGTGTAACTCACACGGACACGCGCACGCACGCGCACGCACGGGGCTTGGTGCGCACCGACGGCACAGACGTTCACGAATCAGCTGCCACACTCGATGCTGGGAGGTTCGTCTAATTGTGCGTGATGACCTTTTGGCAGACGGATCCCGCTTCCTTGGGACGTTTGGTCAGGTGCCATCGATGAGTGTTCGGCTTCGCGTGTGCGAGGAAACCGGAGAAAACCCACCACACATACAAGAGGGCGACACTCGAAACTATGCACAGATAGATGCAGGAATCCACTGTTGTCCTGACATCTCCTGGTCACACCATGGCACTTGCTCGTAGTAATAAGAATAAGAATATTAGTAATAATAAGTAATAAGAATATTAGTAATAAACGTCGTGCATGTTGGCACACTCATAAATCAGCCAAGAACATGAAACCAGTCCACGTTTTCCAATATGGGGAAACACTGACCTTGAAGACCCGTTGGTCAAAACATTGTTTTTGTTCGCTCCGCTGCTAAACACACAATCGTTAACACGCCGCGAGACGCGGACTCATTAAATTCAATGACAGACCGCGTCTACGCTCGAAGAGAAAACGGATTCGTTAACTCAGCGAGGGTAGCAAATCCCATCATTGTCTAAAATTGTCCGCTAATCCCCCCACACGCGTTCTCTGTGGCACCCACCGTCGACACACTACTGACGACACACGCACGCGAATACCGCACGAGCGATGGGTTTCGGATGAAAATATTCAGATTGTTTTTTTAGATGCTCAAGGGAAATGTTGGATATCGTTAAGATTTGGGATCGTTTAGGGGCAGCGGTCAGCAACCAAAATAACAATAAGAGACATATTTTGCGAATTCGGTAAAATATTTAAACCCTCAACATTTTAAAGAGCCGCAATGCACCGTGTGGTGAATACGAGACGGCGGTGGTCCTCAGCACGTTGAGGAGAGCTCAGGACCGGTTCAGACATCGTTCGCCACTGATGTTCGTGCCACCGCAGCTACTGATCAATGTGCAGAGCTGTCCCGGGGCGACCGACCTGGGCCCCGCGCTTTGGGGGGCCCCGTGCTTCGACGTCACGGTGTCAGATGTAATACTTACAGTTTAGTTTGATTGGGGGGGGGGACACAGTGGGGTTTGCCCAGGGCCCCCTCACCCCTAGGGCCGGCGCTGTCGACGTGTGCGTCACGACTTGGACATTGAGTTCGCGCTGGCTTTGCGGTGGCTAGGAGATGTTGACTACCTCGCCTGGTCTACAGGAGGTCGTGGGCTCGATTCCGACCCTGCCGCCTGCTGCTGCTGTATATTTGGAGATTGCGCGTCTCTCTCTCCGTCCACATTCAGAATCAACATTCACGCGTTGAGATGATTTGACTGCTGCTGCTGCTGTCCACGTGACAGGCCGCTTCGCCGAGCTGCCATTCGTGATCGCAGCTCGTTTCTCAATGGGCCTTGCCGGGTAAAATAAAACGTCTTTCGTTTTTATGTTTTTACGTGACTCAGTGTCCCAGCCGGGCGCCTTCACCAGCCCAGCGGTGGCACTGGCACCAAGACACTGGCGTGTCAGGGACTTGCTACTACTACGACTACTACTGCGTGGCGTGTGAGTGGCGAGTGCTGAGGATTGTAGAGAGATGATGAATGGCGAGTGGTGAGTATGAGCACCAAACTATTGATTGTTGTTGGAGTGGCGATTGTGGCGAGTGTTTTAGTGCGGTGAGCATTGTAGATGGAGAAGGTGCGGGTGGTGAGTGTTGCGCGATGTCATCACCACTCACCCTTCACGTCATCGGCAGAGCTGCCCCTGTTGAACATCACCCTCTCTGGTCGCCCACCCACGTGGAGGTGAATCACCGCGTCTCCCTCCATCCCTCCGAGCCTCACTCCTCCTCCCTCGACCTCCCGGCTCCTTGACGTGCTCCCTACTCGTCCTCCTCTTCACTGCCCACCACCTCCTCCTCCTCTTCTCTGGGCTCTGCCAATTCTGAGACTCGAATGAGAGCCACGCGCACGCGGGGGGCGTGGCTCCACGGGGAGGAGGCGTGGTCTCCCCTCCACGGGGGAGGAGCCACGGGGCTTTTTGCATCTTCTTAATCAGCAGCAGTAGCAGCGGTGATCTCTCCACTGCTGGATGAAGATTTCCTCCCAAGCCGTCGCCACGTACCACGGCCCGGTGGTGCAACAATCCATCTGGCTCCTGCACACTTGCCAATGATCTCGTCTTACACGGATTTATATCGCACCTTAACCCAAGGCGCTTTAGAGCAATTATACAAGTGAACGAAAGGTGATAGTGGTTTACATCAAGTGGGGCTATTGAAAGTGGTCGTGTCGTTGTGGTGGCAGCAGGTCCGGTGGGACTGGTTAAGGAGGATTTTGGGTAGTAATAGGGATAGTGAAAGGGGTTGGGGTAGTGATAGAGGTATTAATAGGAATGGGTATAGTGATAGGGGTTGGGGTAGTGATAGAGGTATTAATAGGAATGGGTATAGTGATAGGGGTTGGGGTAGTGGTAGGTGTAATAATAGTCGTAGAGGTAGTGATAGGTATAGTGATAGGGGTAGGGATAGGTATAGTGATAGGCGTAGGGGTGGTTGTAGGGGTGGTGGTAGGGGTTTGGGTGGTGGTAGGGGTGTGGGTAGGGGTAGCGGTGGTGGTGGTAGGGGTATGGTTTGTGGTAGGGGTAGGGGTATGGGTGGTGGTATGGGTGGTGGTAGGGGTAGGGGTGTGGGTGGTGGTAGGGGTGTGGGTGGTGGTAGGGGTATGGGTGGTGGTAGGGGTATGGGTGTTGGTAGGGGTATGGGTGGTGGTAGGGGTCGGGGTATGGGTGGTGGTAGGGGTAGGCCTGGTCTTAGCTTGAGGACGAGGGTTGTTATAAGGGAGGAACGGAAGCTGCAGGTTATTGTTGTTGTGAAGATGGTTGCTCTGTGTGCAGCAGGTTGTTGTTGTTGTTGTGAAGATGGTTGCTCTGTGTGCTGCAGGCGGAGTTGGTTCCCGTGGAGGGGAGCGAGAAGGAGCAGCAACGAGAGGGGCGATACTGGGCGCAGGGGAGCGAGGGAGGCGCAGGGAGAGAGAGGGGGTAGAGAGAGAAGGGAAGGGGGGTAGAGGCGGAGAGTGTGGAGGTCAGGGAGGGACAATTCCCGTGTCCCCTCCCTAGTGGAGTCCTCTCGAGTCTGTTCCCACCTTTGGCTGCCGGTCCATCGTGAGTCTCGACCTTCGGGCGACATTTCCCAACGAAGCCCCCTTGTCGGTCTTAACGGCGACCGCGGCGTCTCTCTCACGTGCGGGTTTGGTGTTTGTGTGTCTCGGGTCCGCGCTGATCCTGTGCGACCCCTGGCACCCGCGCCTCTTCCCCGTTGTCTTGGCGCACTGCGGCGTCTCTTGCTCCGTCTGGCTTCGTCACCGAGGGATGATTGAACATGGCAGGGCCCTCCTGAGAGAGAGAGTCTCGGAGCTCCGTGAGGCTTGCCTGTTTGTTGTAACTTTCTCTCCCGCCCCTGCTGGACGGCTGTGAAAAAGAGCTTCATAGCTCATCGGATTTCTCCAGGATCAATAAGGGGCCGTCCATAAATGACGTCATGCGATTTTGGACGATTTATGACCCCCCCCCTCGTCACATGGCGTCAGAAAAAGTCTGACCCCCCTCAAATATAACCTCACAAAGCTCTGCCCCCTCCCAAAACAAATATTTCCATTTTGAAAATAAAACATGCTTCAAATCGCTTTAAACTATCGTCATTGTAGTGCGTATTTAATGTGGCGCTACACTCTGATGTTGTAGGAGTGTTGTTATAACAATTAGCGTTGTTATAACAATTCTATATTTATTTAAAGTTGCGCGTTTTGATGTGACGTCAAATTTCTCAAACCGCCCCCCCCCCTCGTCACACATCGTCGCAAATGTCTGACCCCCCCCCCCTTAGGTGAGTGACGTCATTTATGGACGGCCCCTAAAATATTCTGATTCAGAGTTGCAATTAACAATAATCACCATCCACACGCCAGACCTCAGAAGCAGCAGTAGAAGTAGCGTCCAGCAGATGGCACCAGGCACCTGGGAATCTCCACAAGATTTGCGTGAAACTGAAGTTGAGCTCTGGGGACAGCAAACACCATTGTGCCCTGGCACACTGGGTTCTGAAGCGTTGAGTCCTGAAATTTGATTTGTCTTGGCACGTAACAACAATCATTTCATCTTGTAACGTTGCGCCGCCGCTGCGCAGTTTTCGCTCCCGGCTCTCGTAGAGAGAGGGCGACTCAGCGGCGCCAGGGGGAGCCACAGACGAGGAGCGGGAAGGCAGCAGCAGCAGCAGCCGCGCGGTGAGGAGCAGCCGGCGCTATCAACAATTTCCCAAGCTCAGCGGTCCTCTATTCATTCAGGTGTTATTCGTCAATTAATGAGCGTTTACATGTGGGAGAAAACCCACGCGTGCGAGGGGGCAACACTCGATCCGATGCAGATGGACCAGGTAGAGTCCACACTTTGCTCTACCGCCTTCTCCTGGCGAGCCAGGCAGAGCACGGCTCCTGAACACCCACAACTTCTGTTTGTGATTCACCAACCCTCCATGCTGCCTCCACAGTGCTGGATTACAAGTCACTAGCAGCATAGCCCCCACATCCTTCAGCAAGTATTACACTCACAATCTCACAGTAATAATTCATTTATAAAGCGCCTTGCATCGAGGATATCAAAGCACTGTTTAAGAAACAGCAGAAGCAAATGCTCAGCATGAAAATAACTCATGAAACAAAAACATAAAAACAATAAAATATGCTAAATGGCATAAATAATATGTAAAAGGACAGTGCGCTGTGCGATTATTTTTTACATCTTTAAGCCTCATCGAGTCTCAAGAGGGGAAGGAAGAGAGAGGGAGATGGAAGAAAAGGAGCGAGTAGAAGTGAGCTGCATGGAGCAGCGTCTGTTTTCAGAGGGGGCGGGGAGAAGGGAGCAGCCACGTGACTCACGGGAGGCTTGAGCTGATGGAGACTGAGAGAGAGATTTAGGTGGGAGGGGAGGGAGTCAGCGTGGGGCTGGCCACACGGATGTCTCAAGACTCGTGTTCACGAGGTTCCTGAATCACATTGTTTGGCCAATTCATGTTTAACGAGTGATTCGCGTGTGAGAGGAAATCGGAATACGGACGAAACCCACGGACACGAAACACGCGAAAGGCAAATGTGCAGCCCTGCATTGCCTTGCTCGCGCCACTGCCGGGAGAAGGGCCCCTCCAGAGGATACTTTGTCCGACTCGTCCACACTGGTGAGACGTCTTGGATGAAGTGGAAGCGCCCACGCTCTACCCCACCGTCCGATCGATTCGCCGTGGTGGGCCTGTTTACGCCACCGGGTGGCGGGGAGATTCTAGAAACTTGCCCCATGATTTTGGCAGCCTCGCCAGGAAATCGAACCGGACAAACTCTGGTTTGAAATCCCAGCGTGTGCTCACGATGTCACCACCGTAGCATCTGAGGGGCGAAGGCGGATTGCAAACTCTGCGTGAGAGCAAACACCAACCCACTTGCTGTACTGCCAACATCTTGGCCACTTTTGCAGCCCCCGGAGCGTTAGAGAGTCACGGCAGCTAAGCGGAACCGCGCCGCGGACACAGCGCATTAGCAGACACGTGGAGCTACGGGCCCTCGAACCCGACGCGGGTCAGCCATGGGGGGGGGGGGGGGGGGTAGAGGAGCCAAGCGCCCTGCTCAATCGCTCGCGTGTCCACGGACAAACGAGGGTTTTGTGGGGAGCCCGAGTGCCTGCCCGCGTTGCCCGGAGGCCGCGTTTCTGCCCCGTGTGTTGTTTGGCGAGGCCGAGGCGCGGCACTAATTCCAATCCGGCCTCCTCGTCGGGGCGCGCGAGGGACAATCCCCGCTGCACGAGCGAGCGAGCGGCAACCCCCCCCCCCCCCCCCTAAAGACAACAACGCAGGAGAAAATGTTCCTAACCAAACCACCACCGTAGTCCGTGCCCCGCGACAAATTAAAACAAACGGTGACCAGAGGTGTTCCTTCTTTATAGGAGGCGCGCGCTCCTGGGTTTTGGCTGAAATTCGAGCGGTCTGGCTGACGCTGAGGGGTGGGGAGGGGGGTGGTGGGGAGGGTAACATTTCGAGGCCGTCTGTCGGTGGGGCAGCCCCTGAATCTCCTCGCCATGGGGGCCGGCACCGTGAGCCGTCTAGCCGGGGCGGACTTTTCGCTCTCAGTGGCTCCGGTCGGCTGGCAACGGCAGGGCCGTCGTGGCAGGGCTGGCGCCCGTGTGGCAATGGGGCCGCACGCTGCTTGGCAGCTTTTCCAGCGTGAAACTGGAGAGTGTAATTGGCTTCGAGACTGCTTGCTGGCATGCCTGGCATCTCGTGGCGGCGGCGGAGGAGGAGGAGGCGGCGGAGAGGGATTTTTTAAAAAAAACTTTCCTTCTCTGTAAACAGTCCCCATCACCCACAGCAGAGCACAGCACGCGGTCCTACTGCTCCCCCCCACCTCTAACAACCACTCAACACAAAAAAAAACCCAGAGACAGTCTCTGCAAACACAAAACATCACGATCCTTGGGGCTGTGTCGCCGTCTGCCGCGAGCGAAGCCACGATTTCTCCCCGCGCGGCTGGCTCCCTGTGTTCATTTCCCACGAAAAAACAAATTAGAAGCTTCGATTACAGCCACGGGGGCCTTGCCGGGGGTGGGTGGAGGAGAGGGGGAGGGGGTTATGAGACGGGGGCTCGGTGGGGGGTGGAGGTGGGATTGGCGCTGCCTCCCCCCGCTGATTTGTGGAGGCATTAGGAGCCTGACAATGGCTCATCGCGCGCCGCAGTGCTGCTCAGTGTTCGGACTTAGGGGCTCAGCGCGCGAGCGCTCTGAAGCACGCGTGGCTCGTCGCGACGGCGTGCGGCTGAAGGCGCAGCCCCGCAACTGCTCGCTCACGCCGCTGCT